AATTGTAACCTCAAGAGTACATACAGGTACAAGGTATCTAGGTACTCAACAAATATTTTTTACATTATATGAATTGTAAATTGACAAATAATTTTGTGTTTACATACATATTTTTAATAAATTTTGAATTTGAATTTATTTTCAAACTTCTATAAAATAACAGGTTGGGAAAATATGTACAGACCTGTTGCAAACATTTTTGAGGAAAACACTTTCACCTAAGGAAGATTCCAGATGAACTTTCTGAAGAACGAAATACGAGACATTTCTAGGTCAGAAACTGAATCATCATGAAGGAGAGAATGAATTCATCAGCATCATTTCTGTTTACATCATGCAATAGAGAGTTAACAATTTACCATTAATTGCTAGGAGCTCTCAGCTCAATCAAGTTTCATCACAGTTTCTGTTTCCATTACCTTCATAAAGAAAACGAGAGAAATTGAAAGAAGACGACGAAAATTGCAATATAGACGCCGTCAAATGCAATTCCGAAGCCCAAGGCGAAAAGCTCAATAATAATTCACCCTTGATCCGTTCAAAAGAGAGCGACGGATGGGTGGATGGAGTGGATCGGCGCCCAACTCCATTTAGATCGAAATCTTCGAGAATGTGCCCTGTGGGCCAATCCGTCGCGTCCACGATGTGAAAAAGAGTGATAAAAATGCTTTATTTCGAGAGGAATCTTCTCAAACCCACTATTGAGTATTTACTTCTGTTGAATGGCAATCATCTTGCTAATAAATTAAGCTTTTGTTCCCCATTGCTTGTTTTTCTCGCATGATTCACCCCCTTAAATGGTTTGATCATCAAAGCCCAATCAGGTGCGAATCCAATGACCCTCTACCATGAATCGTTTGACGCACGCCGTGTTTCGACCTTTACCCTCTGACCTGTCGCCTCCGCCTCCCTCAACCCTCATTTTTTCCTGCGATTCCGCGTGAGTCACCGTGTGGGCCGATGACCGCGAATGCAGCGCCGCGACGCCTGTAATGATGGCACTTAACTATCGATAGCAGTTTCGATAGCGTTGCAAAAACTCGACGAACATTTTTTGTCCCAGTTACCGAATGGGACCTACCTTCCAAGTTCATACCTAAGTTAAGGCTGTCCATTGAATGCCTAGTTATATTGAAATGTCGCAAAAATCCTAGTAGCCTCCAGAACGAAAATGGTAAGTTTTTTCGGGTTTTCTGTGCCATTTTAGGGTCTTAAATACGGACGGTGAACAAAGAAACCCCAAGTATTGTTCTGTGTGAGTTTTGGATATACAGACTTAAGCTTCTACGACCGGATGCTTGGTACAGAACGAAGAAAGAACAGCAAAATCTACAAAGTCTCAAGAAGAGTAACTTGGGAGGTTTACATAAGTCTTCTCAGCATTAAAATTCTAAAGATAGGCGTTTTGAACGACAAACGTTATTTTGCATCCTAATCCTTGGTTCAATCACGATGAATAAATGATTGAGAATGAAGGGACGAACGATAATGAAGGAGTGAATGAACGAATGAATGAGCAAATGAATGACTAAATCAAAGATTGACAATAAATGAACGAAAGCATGAATGATTGAAGATAGAAATGCTGACACCGACAAAAACAAATCGAAATATATCTCATGACTAAAACGTTGCCAAAAACTATTCTGTTTTCACAACTTAATTTTCGTCAAAAATGTGTAAACCATTTTTTTGATGACCAAGTAACATTTTCCAGATAACGTTTGACCGCTTTCTAATCTAAATATAAAGTGTTATTATTTTGTCAATGAAAAATAGAATTAACAATTTCAATTAAATAATAGATACCTAGATATAATTTTTCCAGCATTTGATTTGATTTCCTTTTCTGCAAATAAAAATTTCGGCCAATTTCTGAAATTTCCTTCACATAGTAGCATTAAAAACAAAGTAGGTACTTGCTACGTTTAAAGTTTTCCTCGAATTTTGATCTTAACTTTGACGCCCTGTATATCGAAAGCCGTCCAGTTTTGGAGGACAAATTAGATTAAATCATCATGTTTTAGACCGCGGAATCTGCGCTAGGATTTGAAGATTACACTTTCGATATCAGATCGATAACTTAAAAAATCGTTAAAAATTTCCCATCTCTAGTGCGTATTAATGTCATCTGGCGGCGGCAAAACATTCCGAGGCTGGGCGCCAAAATATCTCAAAATAAGTGTCCTGAAACCCTATTTTGATGTTTATATTGTTGGCAAGTGTTTTTGTGATATGGCAGACTTAACTTACAACCTCTTCAAAGGTCTATTTTAAGACAGCCAACCACTGAAAACGTGAATTAAAGGCAGAATTTGTGGCTAAAAAAAAATTGAGGAAAGAGTGAATTAATTTTGTAAAATGTAGACGAAATATTGTAAGTAGATCGCATTTCCCATCATCAGAGATCAGGCCCAGTTTATCGAATGGCTAACAATGAGAAATACAGCTGAAAACAATCAGAAAATGGAAAGAGACTTGTTGGCCCTGATATCGATACCTCGCTTTCGCGTTGATAAAGCAAAAAAGCGAATATTAAATAATCTTATAATGAAGTTTGATGGAGTTTGGTAACTTTCGCAACTTTCCTAATTATAACAAAATATGAAAAACGATACTTATAAGCCAAGCAATGAACACAATCTAAAACAATTTAAGTAAACATTAATGAACCATGCAATGTTAAACCAAAAACAGCAACTCGTGGAAATTCTTGTAAAAATGGTACGGAAACACTAAAAATAAAAAACCAAGAACATTTGGACAAAGCGAAGATAAAAGTTGGCACCGACAAGTTCAGTCAACTAATGTTTAAATGTTTGATAGGAAACAAGATGACGTTGGAAAGAGTCGGGCTTGTTGAATCTTTTGGACCATACGATATTAATGAACTGTAGAAACTTTTCGATCGACTCTCTTGTAAATCGCAAAAGTTGCAGCTTCGTAAATGATGAAACTTGAAGAGCGCGACTTCAATTATTTAAACGAATTGAGAATTTTATTAATCATCGCCATAAATTAGGAATCCGAATCAGATTCATTTACTAGTTTAGAAAATTCCAAAAGCAAAGTGTAAAACTGGGAAATGTTAATGATTTTAAGCGAGTTCACATAGGAAATATCCATTTTAAAGAAAAAACATTAGCACAGTTTTTGGCTCTGAGAAAATGTAAAGACGTATTCATATTTATTAATCTAAACCAGTCCCTCTCCCACGCTAAATACACGGAAAACAAAATAAACAAGATACACATTCTGATTGCTAAAGGTGAACTGAATTGACGTCAACTGATTGCCATCGACCATCGTGGCCATTTTGTGTACATAATATGACGCCATTTTGTCGACACGGTCGCAATGTTGCAAAATGTATTTCGTCATCAAACTTGACATTGACGTATCAAACGAATTATCAAACAGTTGTCAAATACGATAAGGGTAAATATTAAATAAGGCTAATATGTGCGTGTTTGTGGACGATTCCGAATAGTCTACGTATTTTTCAACCAAATTACCATCCAAAATTGTTGCGACGCATTAAGTTCTAGAACGCAAGCGAGACTATCAAGAATTTAGATGTGACGATGTTGCCGAATTTCCAAACAATCCATACAAGCACAACACGTCATTTTTAACTATGGGCAGAATCTAGTAGTTGATAACAACCTATATGGATTACAGATGGGAAATACAAATAATAGGTACCCAGAAATTAAATTTACTTTCTTTTGATGATTTTCCCAGAAAAATCCGCCGATTAAATTGAGTACTTATTAGCCACTGTTATTTTTATGCTTGTTGCTCACGAACAAAGTGAAAATACCTTACAAAATGTGCCCACATTCCCGATAAAATTAATTTAAACATTATAAAAATCTACCAGAATAAAGTAGAATTATTTAGGATACATACTTATATATTATAAATACAACATTCCATAATGTAACATCTTGTACATAAATTTCCGGAGAAAAACTAAAATACTCAAATAAAAAAAAATAGTGTATTTTCCCCAAACTCAACCAAATTGGCAACGTGGATCTTCGTAGGAGTATCCCCAAGTCCCCAAACCGCGCGGAACCCGTCGTCCAATCAAAAGCATCGTAGTGGAAATAACCCGTGTTTGTATTAAAATGTTGCTGCCGATATTCGCGTTCGTTTCACAATCGGTGGTACGCCAAATTCGTCGGACATTTTTGCGGCAAAAAGCCGACCTGTCGCTTATTTCACCCAAATTTCTATCACTTTCGAAGCGGTTTTATGCGATTTTCAATGATCAATAGTTAGGCAGTACCGCTACTGACTGGGTGAAACTTAAAACCGTTGAATAGGTACTCCTCTAGGGTATTTAAACCAGCTTATACCGATTTTCTTTTCGGAAATCCTGACAGAAATTCAGTGTCTTTAAATAGATAAAATAGACGCCTTGAAAAGAATGCGGAAATGTACGGGAATTAGCGCCAAATGTACTTGATTTCAGTCGATACGACTATTTATCTAAGGTGGCGCTTTCATTTTGGAATGTTCATCAATAAACTTTACTGAATCTGAATCTTCTGCTCTTTGTGTAGTTTAGCTATTTTCATTCCAGTAGAGAATATAGAACAAGTTTTTCACAATTAAACCGTTGAACACAACGGAAGAAGTACGAATAGTCTAGAGATATAAACAGTAGGTGATAAAAATTCGTCCGAGCGATCAGGGACTTATAAAAGGGTGAATTTTGAATGTAATTTAAAGAAAGAATTGAAAGAAGTGTCATTTCCCCACAGTTTTCCCTTACATCCAATAAAGCAAGAAAACAAAACCAGTTATTACATTCAGGGTGTCCGACGAGCTACCAGGAATATGAATCTATGCGAATCATTTTAAACAAAAATAATTCTTTTCACTTTTCCTGAACTCTGAACGGTTCATAAAATATCGGGGTACAAAAAGTTGATAAAGAGTGAATTACAGTTTTGCAACCACAGCAGAGGACTTGGTAATTTAATAAATAGCAACTCGCCTGGAATTAAGAAAAAAATAGTTGATTATCAGTTGGTTAATTGTCATTATTAACACTTCTTTGTGTGTTTTTGGTTGTTATAAATTAACAAACGTGTGATAATTTTGAGAAGATTTTTCTGCAACCCGGTGATTTTACACACATATCATTACTCGAGTCCTTTAGGTATAAAACTCAAATGAAAAACGAGGAAAATAAGTGAAAATTAGAAGCAAACCTTTGAAACCGCCTACAAAAACAAAACCAGCAATTTAAATTGTTAGCTCCAACTGCACAAATTAAATTATTCATTCAAACTATAAAAAATACATTGAGAAGTAGAAAGTGAAATTTCCAGCTTTATAATGCAATAATATTTTTAAACGGGCAAAAAAGGAAGCTCAACAGTTGGTCAATAAAGCAAAATTAATTTTTTTAAATAATTTGGTTCTACACCGGAGAATGTAATTCATACCCTTGCAATGTTTCCTGAAACCGCAACAAAAAATTAATTAAAAAATCGTTTGCCAAGCCAAATTGCAAATAAATCAATACAGTTCCGCAATTTCAGCCCCAGATCATCAGAACAATATTAATTAACGTTTGCTTCCATCTATAGAAAGCTGAACAAACTTACTACTTTTTCAATTAACAAGTCAAGTTCAAAAGTTGTGCCTTCGAAGCCAACACACACATATTTCCTTTCCATATTCAATAAAGCATTAAGTATCGATTTAGCAATAAAAGGGATTTCTGAGTACATAATCGCAACCATTATACCGGATATCTACCCCGGAAAATTGTGATGATGATAATAGGGGAAATGCAATGCAACGAAGCCTAATGGAAAAATCTATTAGTGGGAATTAATTTTTAATGCGTCGCACTGCAAGACATCATTTGATAGTTCGGTTAATAAAATTGCCAATACTTTTGTTTGTCGATTGTCCAATTTTCCTCTTTTCCCATCAAGAGCCAGAATCAACATATATATTTACTGGGGATCGGTGAACATTATTATTTATTCAATGTCGTTGTAATTATGGCGACATATTTCACCGTCGAAATGTCCCATGCACAAATTATGCGGTGTAGAGAAGCCAGAAGCTGCAGTAAATCGAAATATATATATAATTAGGATTCAGTGTTAATTTCACATTTGAAATTGTGACTAATGCTTTAGATATAACTTTGAAAATTTGACTAAATCTCACGCATTTGGAAAAAAATCTCAACTAAATTTAAAGGACTGTTTTACCTGCATATGCATGAATTAGGACGCCCGATAGTTCATTACATTATGTAACTCTTGTTGACAAAATGATAAAATAAAAGAAACACAGAAATCAATGACAAACGCGAGTTCCAAATATTAGATCTATGCGAAAATATGAATGAAAAACGTCTACTGTTTCTATCATGGGTACAATAAAATTCGCTACGCAAAAACGAATACTATTTATAAAGACTTCAACTGATCATACAAGACAAATTTAGACACAATTTGCACGGTCTTGTATGATTTCTTGTTTGGATGATACCGACGAAATTCTTGTCTTTGTCTTTACTTCAACTAATGTGACAAAATTCACCGACAAATATGGCGTTTCAATTTGTCTTATTCGAAAGTTAATAGTTTTCCAAGTAGGTACAGGGTGTTTCAAATTGTACAATTTTAGTTTTTTAAATTGATGTTTAACCTATCTATTACGTTTCACTATAACCAAAAAATTGTTTTTCTTGTTTTTTAGATCGAGAATTGAAAGATTGACTACCTAGCTTATAGTATGTAGAAGACACTCGCCTCGCTGCAATAACACGGAGCCATTTAAAACACCCGATGTTTTTTGGATGTTAAAGTAAGTACCGCTTTCTTCTGAACAAAAATATGTTCACATCGATATCTCTTACCGTTTTCGAGAATTTCACATTGAAACCTCTGGTGATTTTTTGAACTAACTCAAATTGGATCTGCAAATTATAATACTTTTTAAACTCAGTAGTAAGTATTTAAATCTTATGATTTCATAATAATTGGCCAAAATGAACTCCTCTGACTTCAACATATTTATTAACAAATTTAATAAATGATTGTCATTTTCAAAATATTTAATTGTTGTTCCGGAAATGTTCCGCAGCTTTTAAAATGTTTTGCCCATAAACACAAAATAAATCGGGCCTTTCTTCATTCAAAAATAAGTTATGTAGGGGCAGTTTCGATTAACTGAAACTCACTAGAGGTTTCGAGATATTGCTATTAAAAGCGATATTTTATCACATAAAAATGATTGATGTTTTAAATGGTTTCGGACTGTTGCATCTAAGTAATAGAAAATGTAGAGTCCTAAATCTAAAAAACCTTCAAACAACAAATTTTTGTTAGCAGTAAAACTGGTTAAAAATTGCTTAAAAATGTGTGCAATGCAAACAAATTTGCCTAAAACGCAATACTTTTGCACCCTGTATAAAATATACCAATTCACCAGCTTGCACTTGGGTTGTAAAATCCAAAAAAATTATTCCTAAATCAATTTGATAAAAATCAAAACAATGAAATAAAACACGAAAATACATTGTGAGAACAATCTGTTTTCCTCAATTGCTAGAAACAGAAGTACAAAATTCGGCTTTTTTAAATTATTATTATTGTCCGAAAGAAAATAATGTAATTGCGGCAAAATAATTGTGATCGGTTTAAAACAGTCAACATTCTTAGAATGTTGAATTGATTAATTCGAACTTTGGACAAATTTGCCCTAAATCCATGAATAAATCCATTATTTTTCCAATTTAATAAAACAACTTACCTGATAATGCTATCGGTACTGTTAAGACACTGCTGAATACGTTCTAGTGGATTAAAAAAATTATCATCATCGGCTTCTTCAGCGAATGAAGATCGTGAACAGTCGCCCTGTTCGAACGCTGAAATAAAAAATAAACTCAGTATCTCTATTAAACTTCTCCAAATGGACGTTTTAAGCGTTTGCAAAGGTAGAAGGATAATACTGATTAACTAAGTTTCAAAAAAATTTGCTTCAAAAAAAGAATATTCAAACGAACTTAATAAATCTAGACCTAGAAACTCCAGGAAGATCAAAAGGTAACAAAATGCAGGGAAACCCTCGGGAATCCAGAAAAAAAGCCGTTCTCAATTGGCATCTTTAGGGAGGCACAAATTTAGGGCAATTTTCATTTCAAAGACAAACTGCTCCTTTGCTCCCGCCTTACATTTTCTATATTGGAAGATATTTGATTTCAGTTAGGAAAAGCATAAAAACAACCAGGCAGACTGTCAAAACACTTAGACTTATTTATAACAAATGAACTTCCAACAATAAACTAAACGAAACACGCATTTGCTGCGAGCAATAAGTTAAACGTGGACGTGGATTTCCAAACGTTTTAAACTCATGAAACTGCAGAGAAACCCCTACGAAAAACCTCAAAAAATATGCTTCAATATGTCAACAAGAAATACGCCCTTCATGACACGCTCACAAATAAAAACAATCCTCTAAAAAATCTACTAAATCACTGTATTTGTACACCAAACTTACAACTATAAACAACCTCAGCAAACAGATTCCGTATCTAACAAGAATAAACAAATGTTGATCGGTTCCCGAAGCGAAATTGAGGGAAACTTCAACTGCGTCTAGCAACCACACCAGGACACTGGTACCATTCCTGATGACGAACTGAGACGTCACGGATCGAAACGTTGGGAGCAACTAATAAAAAGTCGAATTGCGTTATCAAAACAATTCGCACCCATTATCGGGAAATTCCGCGTGGTTGAGGCCATACACCCCTAAAAGAGCCGGGTGGAGTTTGTAGGGTAGTTCGGAACGTGCACACCAGGAGACGCGGGGGCGCTGAAGACGCACCCCAATCGATACAGAGTCTGCGCGAAGAGGGTGGGTGGACGTACAAATCGCTAAAGATTTCCCAAAAGGAAAAACAACCGTCGGGGGCGCTCCGCCACATAGTAAGTGGAATAAACGGGGCGGTTTCTGGGCTTGGACTTGACCTTGGAAGTGATCAAAGGGATGGATAACGTTTGGGAAAAGGAGTGCGTGTGTATTTCGGGGCTTTTTATGGATATTACGTAGTTTACTACGTTTCTTATAGTAGCAACGCGTAGACGTTTCTGCCAAATTACATGGTAACAAAAAGCCAATTGATTAACAGAAGGAAATCTTGTCATTTGTTCACAGTATCGATGAAAAGCTGGGCCGTAAATCACCTTAGTGGTAAAAGAAATAAATGAAAAGAAAAATACTCCTAGGTTTTCTCTAGCACATAGGAAATATTTTTGGGCGGACAGGAAAAAGAAACGTTTGGGTCTGCTCAAAACCCTCTCGCTGTGCCTCTGAGTGCAGCATTACCCATAAAAGTATTGACACCATTGGACAGAAAGATGGAAGATCACATTTTGTACAGGGTGGCCAAAACTTAAAAATGTATTTCTACGTCAATTTTTTGATGTTTTATTCTAGGATAGGTTTAACCTGACCTGGACCAACACTGCTTCACAGAACCAAACTTTTCACCTATGGCATAAAACCTCTCGACTAGTATTAGTCGAGCGGTTTTAGCTCAGGAGACCTCGGAGGTACTGATGAGCAGATGAGCAAGACTAGTCTTGCAAAAAAAGCAAGACGAATATGAATGCAATGACAAGACCAAGATCTTGCTCCGCAAAACCAACACATTTGGAAGACTTCCGAGAGTATTCGAAGAGTGGAGGTTTGATACAATAAAATCCATCAGATCGCATAGACAGCAGTAAATTAGCGTCTTTTTTCAATAACTGTCAAATTGGAGGAAAACGTTTTGCTGAAAAACGAAAATCGATCATGCAATCGACACCAATCACCATTGGAACCAATCACATTCTGTAAATTCTATAAATGTGATTGGTTCCAGATAAATCGGGGGTTAGTTGACGCAAATAGTTGATCTAATATTTATTAACTGTTAACTTGAAATTGTGGAATCAGTTAATAAAGGAATATATGTTTTTTATGCAGTAGCAAATCAAAAGCCCTGAAGAGTTTATAGTACCTATGCCTAAAATTTAATAAGTATTTTTCGATGTGAATATTAAGAAAATACCAAGAAACACAATTTTTTTAAAACAGATTTTCGATTTTTTATTATCGATTCGATATGGAAATCGAATACCCAATAACATGAGATTATTTTATTATCTTCTGTTATTATTATCTATCGTCTTGTGGTTGTATGTGACATGGGCATACAATTATATAAGGTTCTCCACACTTTCCTTCGACTACAGTGAACATCATTTGCTATTCTTCGTAAGCTAGTAGCGACTATTTGCGATCATGTAAAGAATTGCTTCCTCTTCATCAACTTTATGCTGTGTGCGACATTGATTACTTAATACTTTCTTATTAGGTATTCTTCGAGCAGAAAATCTCGCTGATTTTTGTGCATTGATGCACTTGCATTTCCGTCAAAGTATTAATAAATAAAATGAATAGCGGCCTATTCTTTTATCTACTCTTTTGTAATACTGCCCATAACTCCTAAACTATTGAGGTTTTTGAGAGCATAAAAGTCCCTTATTATCTACCATTTCCTTCGGAACCATGCATTTCTTCTTAGATTCTCTTATGAGTTATATGAAGAAAAATGCAGAATACATATTATCGCAATTTTCCAACATTTCAAGTAGACATTTTTTTAGAAAAAATTAATAATAAAAGCAATAAAAGTACGAAGATATTACAATTCTTTTACCAACTGGATTCACTACTATTTAAAGAAGTAAAAGGTGTGAAAATCGACTAGATAATAAAATATCAATATAAAGAAATGGAGGTTGATTCTCTGCATGCCAGTCTAATGCGCTGCGAAAAATATGGGGGAGAGAATGAACGAGCTGACGCCTTATAGCGATGGCCTAAAGAAGTTAATTTTATCCAACAAGTGCGTCTGATTCCGAATGTTTAAATAAATAATTTATAAGTTTATCAAAATTACTCCAGAGTCTAAATATCTACAGATGCAAAAGCACGGGTTTTGTACCTTTTTATATGGACATTATGGCGTATAAACCAAAATTAAATTATCTGACAAACCAGAGAACATTTTGCATCTTACCAACTTAAAAAAACGTTAACCAATAACAAAAAGGTAGGACTTACAACATTTAAAATATTTATGATGTTTCACAAATACACAAGATAATGATATAAGTGTAACTTATGCAGCTTGAAGATGGTGAATTAGAAAGAAACAAGTTTCAAGGAAAACTGCATATTTTCAGATTGAAAATAATTTACAACTCCCGGTAAACTGACGGCTTTAGCAATTGCAAATATGTATAAATTTGTTAAAAAGTTCGAAACATCGTCGATTTAGAGCGTTAAATTAATATTCCGTATTTTACTAAATAGCTGTTTAAAAGTGGTAGACAATTATTATTGCCGGATTTTGGGGCAACAAACGATAAGCAAGCACCAGAATCTTAGCAAACTCTAACCACAGTGGTCTAGAAGAAACGATCGATAACAGACGTACAATCGTTAATACATCAAGAAACACCCTAACAAGAACAGAACAACCTGCAATAGTCCCGCTTTATACGTTTAAGTAAATTTGTACTCAAGAGCTGAGTGATTTTCTGATAAACCCAAGAATCGAATGTTTAGGTGGACATGATTCATTGAATTCAATTTTTTACAATCAGTAAATGGAAATAATGGCAAATAGCAGAGCTGGCTCGAAAATATATTGGGAAAATAAGTAAATCGACCTGAAATAACACGTGCAGTTTTACATTTTTAAAAGGATGCAATTTAAATCTGGTAGAAGCTGTATGATCACGATGTTTACGGTAATCATTGAACGCTAATTAGCTGTTATTCCAGTTCTTATCTGTTGTTTATTTAATATACTTAACGGAAATTGGAAAATATTTTTCAGTTATACAAAGGAGGCAAGTCCCAAACCAATGATCAAATAATAAAATCGAATCGCGATGTAAATATGAAGAAACTTACATAAAAAATTCTAGGATTAAAATACCGAGATGTTTGTGACAATCGGTACATTCAGAATTAATTTTTTAAATGTTATAATATTCCATTAAAGTTTTTTCACTTGGAACTTTTATTTAAAAAAGCGATATACAAGCCTTTTTATTAGCATTAACAATTGCATAAAGGTGGTCGATACCCCTGAATTTTGGTGACAACATATTCCAAGTTTATAGTGAGAATATAGAATAATTTTAAAGTTAAATAGGTATGACTAAGATAACTACTGTTACAGTTACAGATGCAATATGAATCCATGGCCGTGAAAGGATTGGATTTAAAGGTTCAACTTATTTCTTATTAGACGGAAAGGGTATATTTAGTTTGTAGTGTACGTCCTAATTTCAATTTCCTGATTTTTACTGGATAATGTATTTCATAAGAACTTAAAGAATGCTTGATCGTCTAGTTATTGGTGGCGAACCAGTCTGTTAAGTATATATTTAACCTGTACATTCTTTAAATGCTTTTAAATTGACAAAAAATTGGTTGGACTGCATTACAAAGTTCCTGCTATTCATCAATAAGAAAAATGTATTGCAAAAGTTCTTCAGCATTAGGCGCGATTGACAATCTATTGAATTGTAACTAGCTTGTTGCACATGTGCTTCAACGTATTAACTCTGTAACTACTTAAAGCCTGAACACTTACTAAACCAAGAATGGACTTTAAATTTTTAATGAATAAAATGTAAACAAAAGAAAATTATATTTGAAACCATTGAACTGTGGGATGTTTTATTGGGGGTTAAAGTGTAAAAATGAGGAAAAGCATTGCAGCTTCCCATTTCCTCTCTTGAGAATGTATGAATGAACTCAGCTCTCGCTAACAATGCAACCCTATGTTCTAACTGAAAAACGATAAAAGTTCAAGATTCTGCATTGAGCAGAATGAAAAACGTTGATCCTACGTTCTAATGCAAGAGCACAGAAAGCATGGGTTTGTTGGTGTTTTGAGGGGGCATTTCAAAAGAAAAATTGCGACTAAAAATAATTCAATAAAGCAGGTCATACCTTTGTCAGTTAGATCATCGGGACAGTCATCGTATGTTAGTGAAATATCTAAAAAAACATGAACAACGTCACAAAGTTTATTTTCGACAAAAATATACACCATTACTTACCAGCACCGGCCATTTTATCTCAGTCTGGAAAGCGGAGCATTTGCCAATAGACGTAACTAGCGTGGGTGGTTGTAAGGGCTAATCTAAAGGGCACTTTTACTTAAAAGCAGCTCGAAACGTTGAAATTATGTTAAAAAACTTAGATTAAAGAAAAAATGACACACTGTTTATCAAAGTTTTTGCATTTTTAAGCAATGCTGCCAACCCCAATAGTGGCAACGATCAAACAGCAGGGTTGTCAGATAACACCAATCATCAACTGAACCCTGGCGGACATTCAAAGCGCGATGCAGGGTCAACTTCAACATTTCCTTCGACCATCGAAAGGTTATTTTAAACCTAAAAATATGCCCATCCAAAAATAACCTCCATTGTCAATGGTGTAGCACATTTATTCCGCTCTGAAAATTGTACGTGAGGAAAAAAATTATTTTTTTGGAATTGTGCCAAGTGTAAAGTTTCCATTCACCACTCAGTGGACACACACCAAACTTGGTGTCGCTTTCGCGACAATTTGCACAGTCCGGCACCATCGTAGCGACTAGTATTTACTGTTTAATTCAAAATATATGAAGATTGAGTCATTAATATTTCACAATCCACCAATAATACGTGGAATTTACTCAGTTTCAAAACCAATTTACTCTAAAAATGCGTTTCACATTGACAGCTCCAGCACAAAATGTTCCTAGAAAATATGGCGCACAATTCAAACGGACAACAAAAAAGACCAAAACGAAATACGAGGGGGTTTGAAAAAGATTTACCTATAAAATGATGACACAATAAAAGCATACAGGGTGTTCATAAAATATTTGTTCAAAATCCAGCTGCAGATTCTTAGGCTAAAAATTTGAAACTATGATAACAAATTTCATTCAATAGGAGCAATACAAAAAAAAATTGAAAAAGACTAAATACGTTAACTCAACATACTTTCACACTGTATCACTTAAAAAAAAGCGTTAGAAAGGTATTCATTAAAATCACAAAGTCCGCTCTTAATGTTTTATTTAACTTTACTTTTCACAGTCATTTTTTTCACAAACTATAAAGTGATTTATGGATATTCATTTGTGAATCCATAAAAAACCCTATAGACTATTTGTTTTACAAAACCATCACTACCATCGATGACTAATTTGTAGCAACGTTTCACCTATCTTAAGTTAAGAAAAAAAAAACAACAACAGACTAGTAATTATTTACATAAACAAAAATCATATATAAAATAAAAGTCAATTAAAAATCAGTGTTTTACTCGGCATTCGTGTGGTTATTTTTCAAATATATTATACAGGGTATCCAAATTTCAACTAAGAGGAGCACCCTGCACATCCAATAAAAACATAATTAGCTCCTAAATAATTCGTTTCACTTCTGTTGGAATTTTTCCATTTAGAGAGTAGAAACCAATTAAAATATTCAGCGAATAGCCATCAAAAATACTAATTTTTATAGACGCACCGCTAAAATACAAATACAAAAATAAGGCAGTACGGATATTCACCTTTATTATAAAATATAATATTCTTTGTATAGAATGTCTCTAAATTAAGGACACAATTGAATGAATATTTACTTCTCAACCTCAGATTTTGGAATGAAATCTACACTGATTTTAGATTAAACCAGCTTGTGAATAAAACGAACCGGATGCACTCCATGCCAATGAATCATTGAAAAAAAAATACTGAAACTGACCAAACAAGAGCAACCGATGGAATAATTAGAATGTGAAGTTTGGTCGAAGAAAAAAGGGAAAATCTGGTGCAATATGAAAGTATACAAACTGAGAGGAACCGCAGTCACTAAAGAGAATTAGAAATATAGTCGATTGCCAATTAGGAGAAACTAAAAATATAATCGAAGACCGAAATAAGCCTGTAGACGAGAACGTCCAGACCAACATAATAATGGAAGAATATGAAAAAGTCTCGGAAACATATCAACAGGAAGTTGAGGAAGAAATAGCAAATAAAATAAAGTTTATGGAGAAGAATGTTGAGATGAAAGTGAAGGGTTTGAAATAATTGAAGACATCCTTGATAAACTCATGAAGTAAGATAATAGCAAAAAAATTTCAGACCTGTTTCATAAAATGATAACAACCTTCTAGCAGAATGGATTTTGCATATTATATAAAGGATGGATGTGAATTTCCTCGCAAATAACTCAATACAAATACAGTTCCAATGCCTTAATTTTTAGACATTCCATCTATAGGACCCTGACCGCACAGTTCACCATATTTTCTCCTCTATTATTATTGTAGTTGACTAGTACTATCATCTACATGTACAACTAACTGATATTTATCCTGTTCTACATAATAATGTAGATGATAATAATAGTCTTAATTCCAGAAATATTACCAAGGCTTCCGACAAAAGGGCTGATAACATGTTAGGAATCTTTCAAAGTACACTAATGTATATGATCCAGGCAATATGAATTTTTGTGAAAACGTACCGTAAGTTAAGGTTGCAAATACAGTATATAAGCACGTCAAATATATTGGTTTTGACTAAGACTAGACAATTGTTTTGACTGCCAAAAATATAAAAATTCTCCAAAATTGACTAAAATATTATGGAAAATAAGCCATACCAATAATTTAGCGGTTCAATTGCAAGCTATGTTAAAATCGCTTCAAGATCCCAAGCTAAATTTGGAAGAAAAATAAATAAATCGACTGACTAGGTAGGAAATTTTGGTTTAGTAACAATGGAGGAACCGCCGATAAAAGGGTGGTTTTAAAAACCCCTCTGGACATTTTTTCTATTTCAGAAATGCAGTTATTAAGGCGTTTTATTTGAAAAAAACTTCATATAAACTATTAGTTAAAAAAAGTCGTTTAAAAGAAAAATGCATCTTCTGTCGTAGTAATTTCTCCGAGTCAACACTTTATTTTTGTCGTGCCAAACATCACAATTTTTATTAACAAGCTTTAGTACTTTTGAACTCCCGGGGCGTTGTAATGGTTAAGTTTAAACCCTGTTAATATGAAGCTTTTTCAATAAAAAAGCCTGGACTGTTAAAATAGTTTACCTTGCTTAGAAATCACCTTGAATAGTGTAAATTCTAGTAACCTTCTAATTTGTATTACTTTCTAGCTAAAAAAATTACGGAATAAGTTTACTCTTTTTAAAATTATTTGGGCCATTTGTTAACCAGCCATAAAATAATGCAATTATCCTATCGCTGCTTAACACGATCAAATTTAACATGTGCCTATCGAAATCTAAAAAATGCGCCCAACATTTCTTTTTTAGACGAGGTTTACTTCATGCTGCCCGTAAAAAACCATTATATTGCAATCAGCTTTCAATAGACCAAACAACGATCGAATCGAATCATGAAATTCACACATGACATAACAAGTTTACGCCTCCAACTAAAGTGTGACAATTTTTCGCTTCACAGTGATAAAAAAAATAATGTACAAAATCATCAAGCATTCATAAAAACATGTCTCCACAACAAATATACGCATACATACAAAACCGATCTCGTCCATGGCGAAAATTCAATCTTTCAAGCAATTGAGAGACTTTACTTGGAAAAGTTCTGTTCATTTCTACATAAAAGAACTGAAGCTAAGTTTTGCTTGTGTAAGAATTCCAAGGAATTAGTAAACGGTGGCCATAGATTAACAACATTTGAATGTATATATACAGAAACTCTCTTATAAAATATATAATGGTTTCGATGTCACGTGTGAGGATAATCTTCAATTAACAGTTGACTGAAAGGCGATCGACACATGGGACACTCTGCCAGCAAATCTGCGCAAGATGCACAGAAACCCCTGCAATTCGAAAACTACAATTTTTATGATGCTCAACATTTGTTAGATCATCAAAATAATAAAATGTTCATCGAAACAATTTTGGATATCAAAAAATAGCTTCCAAAAAATGAACAGTAGTTTATTTAGACTTTAATTGTTTTACAGGTGTTTTCTTTATCCTCTTCTTATTTTATTCAGTTGGATGCATTTCCTACGGTTCTTATATGAATACTAGTTCAAAACCTTCAATTGCATTAGAAATTGCATTGCAAAACTTCATTGCATTAGAAGCTTGCAAATCCCGAAAGAACGTTTAAACTCGGCTATTTTGATCCTTCCAGCTAGTGATAATGGTGTTGATTATTACCAATTTATTTTACTCTTTAATATAATAGGAGAAAGCGCGAATCGATGTATAGTTGGCATGATCTTTTTCCATAAGAATGAGTCATACAGCACCAACTTTGTCGTTTATGTCACGTATAGTGAAGAAGCTTCAGGATTCGAATTTGATATTCACTTCAACATAAAAAAATTGAGATAAAAACGATATGTAAGACATTGTCTACCACTTTCAAACAAACTCGGTAAACTCTTATTAACGTCAGCCCCATCCTAGTAATCCTTCTTAAAAAAAGTATCAAAAGAGGTAGGCTTTTGCATCCATTCCTTAAAGCTTGCAAGTTGAAACCTTAGTGCAAGCTGTCGAACAAAACAAATCCGAACATACAAGCCACTCGTGCTTGCAAAACGTCGAGTTCCAGTCCATTCTGTCCGTCCAGATTAAACAATTCTTTAGTATTTTTCTAAATTTCCTAACTTTCTAATGACAACTTTACAGAGGGACAGTGAAAATCTACTTACGCATGTCGACAAGGCAAAAGTCGTACAGTGGCCTTCTGATCGTAACAAAGCGTGCAACTATCCTCTCGAATATTCTGTTGTCTCAATTGCCTCAAGTAAATGTGCCTGGGCAGGACCACTTTTTCATCGGCAGTTAAAGCTCCACATTCGTTGAACGTATTGAAATTGAAGCTAGGAGGATACTTGAAAGGCTCGGCGCCGAAATTAAAGCGACACTGCTGGAACGACATGAAGGATGCCGCAGCAAAAAATCCCGACCTGATAATCGAAGAACGGTATTGGTATATAAAGGAAATAGAAGACAAAAGTTCCATTCTTACTTTGCCATACTGAATACATGAACACTAGGTGGCAGGCTCACTCCATTTACCGAGAACACAATTTGATGATTGTTCAAGTCCAAGAGACACCCTAAAGTGTCCCCGGGCTGCCATCTGGGCAGTTTCTGGGGATCGGATTTTGCATTGTACCAAATGAGCCGTCGACACCCATCATAGGAAAGTGAGAATCTATCGTCACCAATCCCATATCCTTCCTGCAACATATCATTCTCACTCAGTCAATGATGGGAATGGAATGGAAACTAAAGTGTGATACTAACATGGTTCAAAAAGTTGCTATTCTTCGTTGCCCAACCAATCTGCATTACGCCAGGAGTAATAATGAGCACCTCATAATACCAGATCCCTGAATCGGCCTGAGCTGTACATCGTACACTCTCAAAGCTGTAAGCGTCGCATCTGGCCTCCAATCCGTCTGGTGAAATTTTGAGGTACTCACTAACGTCGCTTGTATTGAGCATGGCGTTGATGTTTTCCATGTTTGCAGAAAGGTAGGAATATTTCCGATCATCGGTCATAACTAAAACGATGCGTGTGACCACTAATTTCCAAGCCTTTTAAATAAACTCCTTACAAATATTATCTAAAATCCATTGAGCACAGAACCCGGCTTGCCTCTTAACAAAATGGATCTCAGTCTTCCACTTTTCAAGCATTCTTATAGGCGATATATTTGTTTTCTTAAGCTTATTTAAAATTGAAACTTTATTCTGACTAGATTGGGCAAACTTCTCCAAAGCTATTAACGAAAATAAGATCACATTAGGATTAGTCTCTGGCTCCTGGAACAAATAACATTTTAATCACAGGCGTTTTTTCCATGCTATTGATACCAACCAGATTCGTTAAAAGATAATCTATAACTCCATCATTTAAAATCTCCATATTTCGCGGACCCGCTAATTTTTCTGCTATACTTCCTAAAGCCACGCAAGTATTTCTTTGCCGCGTGGGATTGTTTCTTTCCTTCAACGCAGTCTCATGCGAAAGTGCAAACATATCTACTACCTAAAATTTTTTTTACTAATTGTTGATTTACGCTTTTTAACCGCATTTATCTTACTTTAATGATAGAATCTTTTGACGGCAATGGGCAATCATCTAAAAGCAAAGTAATAACGGAGGGGCCCAAAGGATCAGCAAGGGGTATAACTTTAATCATTGAATTCACTACTTGAATCCAACCTTCTTCGTTGTCGGCAATATTATGCAGTTGCAACATAGCACTTGGAGGTTCTTGTTCACTGAAACATTTCTTAAATTCAGTAAACGAATTGTCGTATACCTATTCAGGAAGTTTAGGAAATTGTCAGCAGCAAAAGAGGATTACGGTGTTTTGAATTCAGACCAATGTTTGAGTTTCCAGCTCATCCGCTGCTGTTATCTGGGCTTTGTGTGTGTTTTTGATGAAAATATTTATACAAAATAATTTAATGGCGTTTGACTTATTATTTAAGAACCAGAAATAATCATCACATTTGGATCAGCAGAAATAACTTTCGAAGTCTATTTTGGGTTATTTATTATTGATTGTATTGACCTCAAACGAACTAGCATTCAGTTTACTGTCATAATTTCTCGAGGCATTTAGGCGCCTTATAATTTGTTTCAAAAGTAAATATATTTTTCCGTTTGCAGTGCTTAATAAGTTAAATATTGCCCCATTGTTGAAATCCAGTTCATGATAGACAAAATTATATTTCTAAGAAAAATATAGGGTTTACATAATACACAGAACAAATAATAAGGCAATCTTATTTACTTTTCAAGTTCCTCAGCTCTTTTCTTTAAATAGAGAGTGTCGTCCATGCATTTTAAAAGATCAGTACAAGTAGAAAGAACATTTTTCGTATATATGTGAATCTATTAATATATTTGGTAATCTAAACCTTCAAATAATATTTAAATAAGCTAAGGATTAGTTAATCCAAAGTAAACAGTGCCAGTCAGGCAAATTTCCCCTAAAGTATACAGATTGAGATATAAAGAAAGATCAGTTTTATTTGGGATATCAATTTAAAAAAATGTTAATAACATTTCAAGTATTACGATAACGCAAAAATTGAAACAAGTTTTACACATCTATTCCACAACAAGAATGGCATTCAAACTTATTTGCTGTAATGGTTATTTTCATATTAAATAATCTTCCATCGGTCAGACTTAATATTTTTTCAGAAAAACTATGGCTTGTTCAAACGAGATAGGATTTATGCGCTTAACTCAAAAAATATATATTTTGATGTTCTATCTCACGAGAAAACCAATAGGTATTTCCAAGCTACATTTTCAACTATACAGAGTGCACCAAAAAAAGTTATTAATATAATACATACAATATCATGCATGTATTTTTTATTGGATCAGCCTATATGTATGTACATGATTTAATTATTAAATTCTACGGAAAAGGTGTGTAATGTGGCAAAATGTGAAACCGTACAGTAAAATTTGAAAAATTTCAGCACTACTTGAGTACTTAGCCAAACAATGGATATTTTTGGGCTCTTTGTAAAATCTTGCAGCAGAAGCGGCAAATCAATAGCAGGAGTCAGACATTTTTTTAAATAAAAGTTAAGTTAAAACGTCTTCTTTTGAGCCAAATAATGTCGCATTGCTCTTTGACCATGTTCTTACGGGATTCCCTGTATCATCATTGGAAAATTTGAGACCTATTACCTAAGTAATACATTCTTCAAACTGTAGTAAATTCAACACTAGTCATGTATTCTAGAGTCCAGAGCAATTAGGCACTGATCAGAGAATAATTGTAAACTGTAATTTAAAGATTGATAGAGTTGTTTAGAAAATCTGATCTAGAAAGTTTATAAGAAATCAGTAAACATTGCAGATGCATTTTTAAACACCCTGTGGACATAATATCACAGGGTCGAAACCTTCGACCCTCATGATAAATCCCCAATGTGGAAAACGGGGTAGAACGTTAGTGATTTACCCTGTATAGTGCAAGAAACAACTTCCAATTTCCACAGGTCCGTTAATTTGGAGAATACGATAACCCTGTAGAACATGGAAACTTGCAGTATAAATTTTCCTTGCGGAATCAGTATTTAACGGTGTGATTTGGGTTCCCCTTGATGTAAACATACTTACTTGTCAACCAGAGTTTCTATAAGCCCCAAGGTATCCAAAATGAGTTTATCTACTAGAACGGTATCTGGATACTTGGGTTCAGATGCAGTCGGCCCTGTATTGTTATAAATCAACGGTGAGGGAACTGGTGAGGGCGGAGGCAGAACAACATCTTGTTGTGTGGACAGGCGGGGCGCATAATAGCAACCTTGTTCCTCGTTTTTCTTCTTACACCAACACATACCCATACCGTCCTTGTTGTGTCCACTCACTAGCTACATAATTTGGAATTTTCGAAATAGTGGGTGTCTTCTATGTTGGGCTCATTTCCACTTCAAACAACATCGGACTATTTCTATTGTGGTTTCGTTCGTTTCGGACTGTCTCAGGCATTGGGGGCTGGTTTTGCAGTTGGGCCCACCTCAGGTTCAGGCTCTGATCATTTCTTGCACCAACTTGCTGGTATTTCAAGTTTTATTTGCCACTTTAATCTTTGGATTGGTTAGAATAGGAGCGAATATTTGCTGCTCCAGATGATCGCAACGTTGTCAAGTTAATCTAGCCCAGTGGCGTATTTGCAATGTTGTTAAGCTTGGAAAACTCAATATTTTCGCAAATATAATGAAAACTGGCAAAAATAACTCAAAAATCCACAAAATTCTGACGTTTTAATAGATCACAGCCCATTATTTTTCTACCACAAACAAAGTCAAATGTTGTCAGAGTTACCAATTAAGTAAAAGGGTGCAGCTGATAAATTTTAAGACTAAGGGCTTTTTCACACAGGTCACTCTGCAGCGCTTCTCAGTGGCGCTGCTTAACCAGACAGGCTCTAAATTTAACCATAAATTTACTAAGAAAATGACAAAAATGGAAAGCAAATAAACTTTAGTATTCAGATCGAAAATATAAATATTTAAAGGAAAACAAGTAAGTGTGGTTGCCTGCCTTATACAGGTGTTTTGTGGTTCTCGACGCTCAATGGGTTGGGGTTGCGCTGCGCAAAAAATTTGGCAGCTGATGACAAGTCGTAAAAACAGTGGGTGTACAAAAATAAAATATTGGAAAAACTACACGAAACCCTAAACGTTGTGCTTTATTATGGTTTAATTGACGAGAAAAGTGAATTCTTCAACCTGACATTGAAAAGTCGATTATAGTTATGTTGATCAACACTAATCAGCTTTTCTAAGGAATCCCACTCAAAAATAGGTAACAAGAGTATTATAATTCTGTATAGACAGGTGCTAATCTAAGGCTTCTCGTTCTGTTTCCCTATTTCTAAGATACCCTTATCATGCCAGCAGGGTCAATAAATGAGTTTTGTTTCCAATTTCCCCAGCAGCCCTCGCACTCAGGTAGCAGCATGAATATGAGCATTGGAGCAGAAGTTGTCTATGGCACTCATGAGGAATCTCATGTCGTCATGTCCGAGAAAGTCCAGGCTCTGGCAGGGAGCATTTATCAAGAATTCGAAAGAATGATATCCCAATATGATGAGGATGTTGTTAAAACTTTGTTGCCCCTTCTTGTAAATGTGCTGGAATGTTTAGACTCTGCTTATCAACAAAATCAGGTATGATTTGACGAATGTTTACTTTCATACGGATATTACAGTGTGTGAAAATCATTATTTACCTCAAATTACATTTTTGACTGATCAGAAGCTGTACAGTCTGTAGGCCTGCTGTTGTCTTACAAGTATTGAGCATGTTATAAACCGAAATATTGGGATTAGAAAACGTCTACTGAAGGCACTGTGAGTCTGAATAAGGGATTTTGTTGCTTCGTCTACTATGAAAATCATTATTTACCTCAAATTACATTTTTGTCTATACCAACTGGTGCAGTGGATGCACTGCATAAACTGTTTTATGTTAAAATAAATAATTACACTGGCGTGATTACCTAAGATCAAATTTACTCGGCAAAAGTTATAAAAAAACATCACATAACATGATTCTACTTCAAATTATGGTCAATTTGTGAGTTGATCAGTTTTTATGGACATTTGTAAGGAAGCAGAAATTATAGTGGTCGATCAGATGAAGCGGAATTTTTCCATATAAGGAACAACAATTTAACATGTGCACAATTGTACTGTTTTAACAGAGAGCACTTCTTTTTTAAGATAGAGAGAAGCATCGAAATGAACAACAGAAACTATTACAAAAGTTGTCCTCATTCCTAAAAAAATTGGTCGTAAAAAACTGTAAGTTTTTTCTGTTCGTTTTTTACACCTGAAGTTAATGCAAAGATTTTGCACAACCTTCATATTTCTTCCTTTAAAGTGGATTTTAAATGTGTGAATACACAAGTCAATTTAAATTGTGACTTTACCCCCATTTTTAAGGGATTATACGGTTTCAAATCCGCAGTTATCCCTTCAGTCATTACTTGATTTTATTTTCAGCAGTTAATCTTGTTCAACACTAGTCTCCAGTCTAAACTGTCTTAATTTTATAAAATTTGATGTAAGAAATTTCAGTTTACCTCTTTCCACTAATCAAAGTCATTAAGTCTGTATCAGTTTAATTTTAATTTGTTGATGAGTCTCCGCAATAGCTTCGTGTCTGGTGTGTGACTGAATTGTTAATTACTGTTTTGTCATTCTTGAAGTCTTGTTTAATTCAATTATTCTCGCTATGTCCACATTTTTTTTTCACTTCAAATTTCACATGCACAGTGAAGAATTTGCATAATCTTTTTCTTTCGTCTAAAATAATTTAGTTTGTTTTTAATTCCAGAACATTCGGTCAGTGTTGAACTGGTCGCCTGACTGTATATTTCGACCAGTCAAAGGTTTTTCACTTTTATTTTAAAGTTCTGTTGCGTTTATTCTTAGTTTCCTTCTCTGTGTTACAATTTTAACTGTATATGTTTTACCGTTATGAGCCTCGTCACGAGAAAAAAGGAAACCGACTAGAAATTAGTACTAGTGAGGATTTGCGGTTGTACTCACCAACATAAAAATTTTTATAATGAAAAACCTGAAATTCCCCTTATCACATGCATGTAACGTCATTCTTATCCTGTTTTCTCTCGACTAAACACGTTTTTCTTGAAAAACAAGTTTTTTTGAGACCCCCTAGTTTATTTATATCAAAAACAATATTTGATTATATTAGTGTATACCCCAGTTATCTTATAAATTATACGAATACTCGCGTTGTTCTTGAATTTCAGGAGCAAGACGTTGAAGTAGAGCTGCTAAAGGAAGACAATGAGCAATTAGTAACCCAATATGAAAGAGAGAAGGGGGCTAGGAAAACAGCCGAACAAAAACTGTTAGAGTACGAAGATGCAGCAGAAGGTATATTCGAAGTATTAATAAAATTCGTCACGTGATTTTTATATTTTGCGGAAGTCATAGGAAAACTGAAACAATTTACTCCGGCAAAGATTCATTTAACGAAAATCCACTAGAAACATTTTTTTAAATTCTTGCAGACCGTATCTCAACAAAAACAATTTAAACGTTTAAATTTAAATAATTTTTTGCTGTTTAGGCGAACGAAAAGAACTGACGTCTAGACTTGAATCCCTGGAATCTATAGTTAGAATGCTGGAGCTCAAACACAAAAACTCAATGGAACATGCCAATCGTCTGGAAGAACGCGAAGGAGAGTTGAAAAAAGAATACGCCAAACTACATGAAAGGTAACGTTTGTTTTAAGGAAATAAATTGGACGAATTTAGTTTTCAGTTGGGATCATTATTTCAATTCGCGTTTTGTGGTCGCTTATTAATATGCATTAGTTAAAAAGGCAGCTTGTCATATGAGGATTATTTCCTTAATTTTCACGCCGCTGAATTGCAAATAAAATTCTTTAAGGTCATATGTTCCATTCTAATTACTTTCGTTCGAATTAATGATGTTCATGTTAAATGTGCAGAATCTGCAACTAGATTAGATTATGCGAAATGCAAAATATATTTTTATAAAGAAAATTCAAATCTATAAAGTTTCGGCCACCTTGTTTATTTCCGATTAAATATCGTATCGACAGCCAGAATACGATTTCTATGCAGGTACACCGAACTGTTCAAGACCCATGTAGATTATATGGAGAGAACCAAGCTACTACATTCAGGACAACAACTAGTAAATGAAAGAGTTGAAGCAGGCCGGCTGAATTCAAATAGACTCAACATGGGAAGAAGCTCAGGCCCAATTTCTTTTGGGTTTGCCAGTCTGGAAGATGCCGAGAATGTGGATAGCATTCCTTCGTCTCCTATTAGCAGCACCCACTCATCGCCTAGGTGAGTTTACCAGTGATGTATCCGGAAACAGTTTTACAGTTTGGAAAAATTAGTTTGCATAATGAAATGGACAGTTTGAGCAGAAAACCAGTATTAAAAGTTGAGCGCGCCCAAGAAACCGATACGATAAATTTGGAGAATAAGAGCGTAGTGACTTCACCAGTCAGTCCTACTTCACACCCGAATAGCAGTGGTGGAGGTCGATTACACACTAAGAGAGAACAAAGAAGTGGCAATACTTTATACCAGGAATTAAGTTTTCAGGTAAAACGGTTAACTTTTTAACGTTTGCATAGTTCATTAAGGTGTTTGTTCGTCTTTTAGGATGTGGATGGCGATGAAGATCCCACTGATATTACTGGTAAGTCCTAAATACAAAAAAAGTTAGATGCGTTTTTCTGGTTTTAAAATTCTATAACTGAACTTGGTGGATTTGTTTAAGGTGGTTGGGTACATCCAGGAGAATATGCCTCTTCAGGTGAGTTTATTAAGAAAATCTATTATTTTTGCTTTATACCAACGGATTAGTAGTGCAGTGCAAATCTTGCATTTTTGTATATTTTTATTAACAAACTTGTTAAGCCTTTCGCAGTACTAATGCACGATTTAGTGTCTTAAATTGGTTGATCTAACTTGTCTTTATTTTTGGCTTGGGCTAACATTGCTTCTGGCTACAGTCAACGACAATTTTTATGGTAAGTCCGTTATCTAATTGTGTAAACATTCTTAATAGTCGTAATTGCAACCAAAATACATGGCATTGCAAATTATATTATAAGCGAATCTAAAAAAATCGTTATCTTTTTAGGCATGGGCAAGGAAGTAGAAAATCTCATTATGGAAAACAACGAGTTGATGGCCACTAAGTCAGTTGTCTGATCATGTAAATTCAGCACATTAGCAGTATTAATCCTATTTATTTTAGAAATGCTCTTAATGTGGTGAAAGATGACCTCATTGTGAAAGTAGATGAGCTGACTGGAGAAATTGATATGCTGCGAGAGGAAATTTTATCGCTGAATGTCTCCCGAACCAAACTAAGGTGAGGATAATCTATTTTCAGAAACATGGATTTCGAGCTCGTATTTTTCAGAGAGCGTACAACAGAGTTGGAAGAGGAACTGCGAAAAGTCAAGGAAGCTCACGAAGCTAAACAGGACGGCGATGAAGAAGAGGATGTTCCAATGGCTGAAAGGAAACGCTTTACAAGACTGGAAATGTCTCGTGTGCTGATGGAAAAAAATCAATATAAGGTAAGTTAATGGCAAAATTAAAAACGCAGAATTATTCCACTCAATGAATTATATAAATATTGGAGTTAAATGTTCTATTCCAGGAAAATTTAATGGAACTGCAAGAGGCAGTACGCTGGGCCCAAATAATCAAGGCATCGCGCGAGCCTTCCCTTGATAAACACTCCAACAGAAGCATTTGGAGTTTTTTCTCAAACCTTTTTAGTGGAGGAGACAGAGTGCAACGATCAATGATGGGGCCGGATTTTAGGTACCAAGCTGCTACTAACCGAGTGTCTCCGGGATTGAGAAGTTTGGCAAGGATCCAGGATAGAAGCGATGTGGAAATGGGTACGGAATGCTAGTTTTTTGTAGTTTTGGTCCGGGTGCTAGTTGCAAGAAATAATGTATAGGAGAGTTTTGAACTGCTATTTGTTTGTTGTTTGAAATATTGTATTGTTCGAAACTTTCTACTACATATATGTATAATTGCTTGCCCTTTAGTTCTAAGAATATATAAATATGATCATATGTTCATGCGGAGAGTTAACTATCATTTTCTAGATCTGTTTCCATTTTAGTTGACTATTTGTGTGGAAAGGCTCTGTGATATTTTAATGAAGGTGGATTATCTCAAAGGTGTCCGTGATTACTGGTTGTTTTTCCATTTTTATCGTTAAATCGGACTATGTTGAATTGAACTTTTAAACTGAGCGGTTTAATAGCTATGCTAATGCCAAAGTTTACTTCGACGCTCTAAGTTAATTTGTTTTCTTATAGCTTTCGTTAAGTTTGTCCCTGTTTTGATAAACACTTCTGATAATAATTTATTTGATTAAATTTTACTAATTTAGGCAATTCGAAAGTCCACTTTCAAGTCTTGTTTGTTTGAAAACCCCATTTTTCCGATTGTGGTTTTATGTTTTCTGGGATAGAATCCACAGTTTATTTTTCAGTTGAATTTTTTCGGGTAGGAAGGGCTTATATTCAAAGCGCTGTTGTCGTTTGCACAATTAATAAAGGGTGAATATACTGACAATTCTTTTGGGAGAGCCTCAGAAGGATGTCCACAGTCGTCTGAGGCACCGCGATTTGGCAGATAATGTCGGCCAATATGGTCAGCCAGTTCTGGTAGCTGGCAGTTCTGGTCAACAGGGGATTGCCGAAAATATTAGCCAGGATTTAAGGCGCAGCTTATTGTGCTCGCTCAACACTTTATCTCTCTTGTAAAAAGCCACCACGTCCTCTAAAAGCACTGACAAATCTATGCCGCTTCGTTGCCACTTGCGGTAGATCGTACCGAAACACTCTCGATAGTATTTCCAGCGAACACGCACTGCTTTCCTCCTTCAATTGCCTCTGATTGAGCATCTAAAGCATGATTTTCTTCAGGTATGGCAGGATGATTGCCATTTCCTTTTCAAAGCTCTGTTAGGTGCAATTCACGTGCAACATCAGGCATAGGAAGCAATTCAGTAGGTTTTCGCGCAGGCACTTTGGGTCGTTGTTGTGCTCCAGAACGATCAACACACTCTTGGATCGTCTGGATCACGCTCTTAAGTAAGAGTAGAGAAACTTGCGGCCTTCCGGCCCCAAAAACACGGTGTTCAGGCTAGTGTCAGCTTTCTGAGCTTTCACATATCGCCACAGTAGGTGGAGAGTGTTGGTGATGATTGTTGTCTAATGTTTGCGCCATCAGGTCACAGTCTTTATTGGCGATACAGTTTTTAAAGCAGTTTTCCGAATTTTTGTATCCCGATCCTGTATCAGGCCGCTGATGGCAAGGCAAATTGGCGATAGATATTGCAGGATTATTTCCTCCGAATGGATTTTGATCAGTTCGCATAGTTCAGCGCATGTTCGTGTTACGGTCTCATTGTAATGCTTCAGACGGCTCAGAAGGTTCTTGGCTCCAATCTGGTTTCCGCATTGGCCGGCATCAACGTGCACGATTTCACTTATTTTTGTTAAAAATTAACGAAAATGCAGGATTGTGTTTTCTATACAAAACTGATGTTGTTGACGAGAATTTCTTGGGTGCACACGATGCAAATTATAATTTTTTGTGGGAAAGGTATGGGTTGCTACTGTTCTCTGTAAAATAGCCTAATGTGATAAAATTATAGTTTTTTGATAGAATTTTCTGGCGCAGCAATAGAAATACACAGTCTAAAATTGTAGACTTTTCTCAATTTCTTAATTAACCAAAAACAAAGTAAATGTTTACTACAAATTAAACATAAACCATTTATTTATCTGCTACTTTCCGTAAACTGCGGTATTTGTTTTCAGGTAGACACAGACACTTTTTTCTATGCCAAATTTACCACAAACTAAAACCCATCAGATACCCAATATATTTGGTGGTGTTTTTCGCGTTGTATTTTACTACCGTAGATATAATTAATTATTTATTCTGCATTGAATTGTGATACTGTTATCAACGACTACACCAAAAAGAATGCTCAATTTCAAATTTTTTTTAGTGTTATTTTTAGATTACGTATCTCTGTATGATCGCCAAAAAGGGGGGATGGCCTAAAAAGTCATAACATTTTAAAGTTAACTTGAGAATATTAGTTTTAGGAAAGTGAAACTACTGAGAGTTAAGCTTTAATTAGATAGGCTATTTATTTTCGTTCTTAATTTTGCAGTAAGTTTTTCATTCTCCATTATCAGGATCTTACTTACATTATTTTATTACGGCATTTATTTATTTTTAACTGGAATATTGCCTGGATGCTCAAAAATCGTTTTTTTATATTATGCCCTTGACTAATCGAAGTAGGGCCGTTTTGAAATGAAAAGCTTATTTTGCATCTTAAAATATTAACCAGTATTGTTTGTTTAAAAATGTTACTTAAAAACCCGTTTTGAAATACCACATTTTTTAACGAAACTAATGACTTAGATTAAAATGAGTTCTTCATCTTTAAATATTTTTGACAGTTTTAACTAGGTGTAATTTAGCCTGTAGAAGGTAAATCATTTTTCATAAATACTAATTCTAATATAACTAGAATTCTTAAAAGGAAGACAAAGCAGTGAAGACCTTGAAACCTTGTGCCATATTTTGCCAGTTATAATTTTGTTACCTTAATTTTAAATATATTTGTTTAGTTTTCCTTGGTAGACTTTTATTTCTTAAAACTTACTTTGCGCACATAACTTTATTATTTCAGTTAGACGAAATGTACAGCTTATTTTTGGCAAAAAAATTAGGCCACTGTAAAAATGTAGTAGGAAAGGCTTATGTAAGTAGATCATCTGCAAGGTTCTGTCAGTCATGTAAGTTTTTTATTTGTAGGATCGGAAAAATTCGCTATACGAAAAGCTATGGAAAGGCGTGAGCAGTACCGTCAGGTAAGCCGTGGTGTTGTATTGAAACTTTCAAATTTACTGGCTTAAAAAATAGGTAAGAGCCCATGTGAAGAAAGATGATGGGAGATTACACGCCTATGGATGGAGCCTTCCTGGAAAAGTCGTAGCTACCGAAACAACAGGCAAACAAAGCAATAGTGTTCCGGTTCCAGTTCCTGTTTATTGTAGGCCTCTCGCTGAAACTAAAGCCAATATGCGAATATGGTGCGCGGCCGGAGTAAATTCTATGGGCGGATATACCAAAGATGGGGGCTTGATGGTAACGAATAACATTTACTTGAAACTTGTTTGCCTAATTATAACATTTGTTAGGTTGGTGGTAGTGTATTCTACTCGGACGAACCGCAAATTCCGGAATCAAAATCGGAAAACCAGATTGAAGATCTGGAAAAGGAATTGAACGATTGCAGAGAAGGAGCTTTATTGGAAACCAGATTAACCTCTATGGTGTGGATCGTGACAACAACCCAGCATGCCAGTATGGTCACGGTAAATATCACACTTTTTATATTTAATTCTTAGCCTTTTGCAATATAAAGTAAAATTCCAAATGCCATTTTTTCCGCAGGTAATAGATGCTAATAATCCCGCAGAACTTCTTACCAGTTTTGGAGTTTGTTCTGCACATGTGCTGTGTATAGCCAGTGTTCCAGGTGCCAGTCCTTCTGATTATATCGACACACCCATTGAAATTCCGATAGAAGGTAGCTGTTGGATTATTTGCATAATTTTAGCTTATAGAAAGGAATTGAATTTCCAGCCCACGAAGACAATCCAGAGTCCAACGAGGCTACTAACGGGGAAAAGGAAAAGGAGAAGGAAAATAACGCGCATCCGTCCAAAGTCACTGAAACTCCTGAAGGACGAGCTAAAGCTGTGCAAGATGGAGGTGTTGGTACTAACACCTTGCGTACGCAAGAAGCTAATCAAGAAGCAGCTCTTGTAAGTTTTATAGTCATTAGCACCGTTTACTTTCTCCAAAATGTATTTTTCAAACTAGTCAACAAAATAAATACGATATACAAAATAATAAATAATAAGATACCAGCTGGTATTGAGTGTATACGCAGGGTGATTTAAAATTGGCCTCATTCATTTTTAGGGACGATAAGGGCTCAAGTATCGTTTTCCAAAATTGCGATTTTTTTGTCAAGAGGTGTGCGGGTTCCAAACATAGGGGACCATGTACGTTTCGAAAGACGTTTTGGGCGAAAAATGCCTGAAAATTTTTTTCGGGGGGAAAGGAACGAAAAACGCGGGGAAAAAAACCGGGGGAAAGAACGCCTAAAGGGCGTTCAATTCGCGATTAAAAACAACGTGTTTTAACGAGTCTACACGTGTTCATTCTGCTCCCAACACCCCAATACTTCAATCTCACTTTATGTGTTTATCTATGGCCATTTGAGCTTTTGGTATTGAGTTTATTCATATTCTTGTAGAAACTCAACTAATGCAATAAATTTTTGATCACTTGAACTGGTAGCAGGTGAGCTTAAATGTGGACTGAAATTTAATTGACCAAATTCGCGGTTCCTCTCACTTTTACCCTCTAAGTAATTTTTTGTGTATAACTGGTTTCTGGTTAGTGACAGTTTCTTCAGAAACAAGAGAGTTTTTGAAATATTTCGCATACTATTTACAGCTGGGCAAAATCAGTTTCGTGGAAAACGACCAAACAGCAGTTAAAACGACAAATAAAGCTAGTTGTTCTGTAAGTGACAATGACTCAAAAACTGACGATAATGTTGCCCAAGGAAATCCTGATAAAGTATTAGAAGAAAATGATGCAATAGAAAATCCTAAAGATCCCAACCAGAACCCAACACACGGCTACAAGAGTCCAACATTGAATCTAGAGGTGAGCCTAAATTGTGTTTTTTTCTAGTTACGTTCAACATTTTTCAACTTTTCAGACCATGTCTACGGTTTTAGCCACAATGTGGCTAGCGGATACAGATGGCAATGTATATATTCATTCTTCTGTTGCAAATTGGCATCGGAGGTTACAAACTGTTAAATTAGGCGATTCTGTGATTAGTATAGTGTGAGTTGAAATTTGCTTAAATTGCTTAATTGGAAGCTTTACGTAAACATTTAGCATTTCATATGTTGCTTTTGTTATTTTACTCTCTATTTCAGTTATGCAAAAATTTTGCAAAGTACTTCTAATATTGCCTTCAAAAGGCGCTTCCCTAAGTCAAATAACCAAAAAATGAGTTTTTGGTGAAAAAATGTATCATTTTTAGACACGTTAATGGTAGAGTTGTAGTAGCCCTAGCCAATGGTCAACTAGCTGTATTCAAAAGACATTCGAACGGAGAATGGGATCTATCACAATACCATATAGTGCAAATCGGACTTCCACATCAATCTGTTCGAAAATTGGCTGTAGTGGGAGATAAAGTATGGTGTGGGTATAGAAATAAAATTCATGTGCTTCAGCCGCGAGAATTGAAAATCATCCACACTTTAGAGGCGCATCCCCGAAGAGAAAGTCCGGTAAGTGCCATAAAAAAATCTCTTATCGCCCAACGTTGTAATTTTGTTTTAATTCTATCAAAGGTACGAGACATGGCCTGGTTAGGTGAAGGAGTCTGGGTATCCATAAGGTTGGATTCAACATTGCGATTATATCATGCTCACACTTACCAACATCTTCAGGACGTTGATATCGAACCTTATGTTAGCAAAATGTTAGGTACGTAATTTGATTCGACATGATCATAACAGTGATTCGAGTGAACGATGGAAATCCTGATTCAATTTTTGGAATATACTTGGTTTGTACATAATTTAGGTACTGGAAAATTAGGATTCTCTTTCGTACGAATTACCAGTTTGCTCATCTCTTCCAATCGATTATGGATTGGCACCAGTAATGGCGTTATTATCTCCGTGCCATTGACCGATTCCTGCAATTGTAGTTCAGGATCGATAATTTCGAGAGGTTCAAGTATGAGCGGATCAGGTAAGAACCAATGGATTTTTCATATGAGTTTGATTGGTAATTTAAGTAAAGTCGCCACATTAAGAGTGTGTTTATAATTATTATGATTTTTTTTAATTTTCAGCAATAAGATTTCCAAGGGTTGCATTTCCTGAACACTTTGTGCCATACTGTACAATGGCACACGCCCAGTTGAGTTTCCACGGACACAGAGACAATGTAAAGTTTTTCGTTGCTGTACCCGGAAAAGGAGGTAGATAAGAATATATTCGCATCAATTGTTACAATCTGGCGAATTGAAATATTTTTCAAGGCATCAGCTCTGCTTCATCACCTTCTGAGGCAATGTCGGCATCAGTTACTTCTCTTGAAAGTCCAACTAAACAACCACCAACCTCCATGTTGGTAATATCAGGTGGAGAGGGCTATGTTGATTTTAGAGTGGGTAAGTATTTTTTTAATTGAAAAATCACTGTACGGTTTATGCACGATTTCCACCATCACCATCGTAGCTGCTGGTTACGCACGTTTCCACATTATTGTTTGATTTGCTGATCTTCTGAAGACCGAAGAGAATTGGCATGTAGAAAATTGAAAGTTGTTAAATATCAGATGGGATTCCTGGGGAGTGGTATTTAGAGCACTGTCGCGAACTAGCAACAAACATTCCTAATCTAGATTTGGGGTGAAATGTGCTAGTAAATAGTGACTAGGCGAAGCTGGAAATTTTAACAGATGACTAAATAAAAAACTATTTATTATTTAAACAAAGCAAATCAATTGGAATACGTTCCTTTGAATATCAAGTAACTTTCATGCAATAGATCTGTAACTAAACATTTCTAATCAATATTTGCGCCTGTACAGCTCTGCTTCTCATTGTATATAAACGGGGTATTTTTGCGAGGTATTCAAAACGATTAAAACGACAATTTGCAGAAGACGATTGCGAACCTAGAGACGGAGCGTCGCACCTGTTGATTTGGCAAGTTATTAACATTGAACCTGGGAATCCCATGGGGTAGGTGTGCAATATTCTCCTAAAGTCCCGTTTATAGATTACACTGCACTTTATAGGGTAGATATGCACATTTCCGTTTAATTTATTTGTTTCAAAGTCGGCTTTTTTATCTGTATATAATTGATAGTAGCGGTGTGTTCGAAGTTATTTATACAGGGTGTCTCTGAAATGACTGTGCAACGCTTAGCCACAAGTTCCTTACTCGATATTTTATATGTAGAAATTTTCGATTACGTCGTTTTTATTTTTATTAATTTTTAACTAGGTGATGAAATGGAGGATAGCATGATAAGCAACACAGCAGCGGTTGCAGAGAATTATAACAACAAACAGGGGGATCTGACTCATCTCATTGTTTGGCAAGTTTCAACGAGTTAAAAAGCTGCCCATTGTTAAAACTATACACACCAATAAGATTGGCATTGTCGATATTTTCCCTACTTTTTTTTGATAAAATGATATTGAATTCATATGGAAAAGCTTTATTTGCAAAATTTACACAGCCTGAAGCCGACTTTAAGGATTTTTAGCAAAGCCATAAATATAACAACGAATTGAATGGTTGAAAAAAGCATTCTTTGAAAGTTTTTATGTGATTTTTCAAAGTAGTCTATTATTTAAGAATTTTTCGATTTAATTATATCACAAATATCTTGTGCAACCGCAAGACGTTCTTTCACCAGTACATTCACATAAATGTGAACCCAACTATAACCAAAAATGAAAGCTGTGAAGTTGTAAACATGATTTGTATATTTGAGCGGATTTAACGCCAACTGGTGCAGGTAGTGTTTCATGATATAAAATTGTTCTTAGTTGTCTAGGATCCTGATTAATTATCTGCTTGAGCGATGCAGATATCACTTTATTGACCAATTTTAGTTATTGCTTTAAATTGTTGGGCGGATGGAGTATGAGGTCCGTTTGTTTTACGGAATTAAAACATTATTTAGTCTGCAACTTTATACATTTATTTAGAGCTGTTTTGGCATGTAATCGATAGGTTTTTGCATTAACATTTTCCTTTAAAGATATCCCAGTTTTATGTAACAAAATAACTGCGCAGTTTTGCTGTACGAACCTTTATAAATTGTTTTAGATTAGATTCTAAAAATAGTCAAATTTAGTTCAAATTTAAATATCTGTACATTATGTTAAGAAATCCGTGTATATTACACTATTATTTATTGTATAACTAGTTCAGTGCTTTTATCGTCGTAATGTACCCTTTATAATATTGTGCTTATGTTATATAGAAATGTATAATAAACATGTTCAATAATAGAGAAAAGGCTTTGAGTTTAGATATATGCAACGGTCATTGGCTGTTTGAGGGAAAGCTTGAGCGACTTTTAAACAAGTCTGGACTTTTATCTATTTATTATAAAAGATACAGTTATATTTATAAAAAAAACAGTCAGTATCAACAAAAAGGAAATAAATATTGATAGCACGGGTTTAATATAAACCCAGCTGTCCTGTTGTCCTATGATTCTTTTGACACCATATGCCTTACTAAGTTGCTAACAAATTTATCAATTTTTCTAAGATCCTGGGCTATTTCAGTTTTAAATTGAAGACACTGAAACAAAACAAATTGATTAAATTAACCAACATGACTAATGAGCACGTTCGAGAGCTTAGGTAAGTTTGACTATTTTCAAATAGTGTTTTTCAAATTTGGAATCGGTAAATTTCAGATTGTGGAAAACGGCATTTTCTCCAAAAATGTTGTTTGTTATGATATTTTGTATAAGGTGAGCATAGTCTTAATCGGCCAAGCGGCAGTCCTGATATCAGATTGTGTCGTCAATATTTATACTTTAAGAGTTTCATGGCAATTGAATGGAAATTGAATGGAATTAATGGAAAATTTAATCACAAATTTTGAATTGTATCTAAGTCATCGAAAGTGCTCTGTTGACTCATAGACTCGGACATACACAACTATTACTTCACTATACACTGTGCTAGCTAATAATTGATGTTTAATTTATTGAAATAAATTAGAAATGTGGAAACATATTTACCCTGGAATCGTCAGTCATTTTCAGAATTAAATGATTTTTCGAGTGGGCATATTTCATTGTATATCGCACCTTGGAAGGGTCTTGGAGATAAAGCTTTTCAGCAGCTTTTTCAAATTCTTCCCAGGATTTTAAAAAAGTCATTTTTAGTACTCGACGTTTATCGCGATATGGATTCGAGCAATGAACATTAAAAATTGAGGTTAGAACATTAGACGGATCAGTCAAGTCAGGACACGTCGTGCAACGTAAATGTACGATTAATTGCAGATATCTTTAATTGATTTCAGTTTATTTTATGACAGTGTGTCTTTTGTCTTTGTTTGTCACACACATTTTCTTTGTTTGGTCTATTATGATTTCCACCAAACCCATTAAACAGATTCCACAGTGTAGATAGATGAAAAATACGAATTTTTCGTCAAAACTATTCTCAGTTCTAGTCGCGGCCACCGATCACTAGCGCTATAATTTCGCGTTTTTTATTACAAGTTTTTAGAAACAACGCTTTACTAAGCTGACAAAAGTCAGGATTGTGGGCTATTTGAATTTTTTATCGATTTTTTAGGCAAAGTTGTACAGCTTGTAAAATTTTTGATGTGGCAACGCTGTCTGTGGCCTTAGACACCTCACTGACCTCACCTTTCACTGTTCTCTGTTCTATGCACTTGTTGAAACCTTTACACTAGCCGGAACCGGAAGTGCACAGTTTCTGATTAGGGCGTCTGCCACGAACGTCACCGCATCTATCTGCATAAAAGCAGTTTAAATCTTGGTAAGTATGTTGGGCTTAATTGAAAATGCTGTTTTTAGTACTTGTACATGTTATTTTTGAACATTTTCTGCGGAAACCGGGCACTAGTATTGTGCATAGCGAAAATAAAATGGGAAATTCTCTATACAGTAGCAATTCAGCATATTTGGCTATACAATTATGTATTTTAAGCGTAAAACGGTTCGAATATCAGACGACTTGAGGTCGACACCCATATATAACAGATTTAGCGCATTTTTATTTAAAGGATCCAAATAAAATGTACACTTTCCGAAATAACTAGAGGATCTTGCTAATTTGATAGAACGCCCAGTATTGTAAGCAATGCAGTTTGCCTTGAACGTGTTTATCACAAATGTAAAAAGCATCTGTACCATGAGCATTGGAATTTATATATTCAACAATAGTTCCTTTGTTAGAGTACCTACTAATATTTTGTAATTAATACTATGTTTTTCGGGCTATAATACCTCAACTTTATAAGGTAATTTTTAGCTACATCTATACTTCAAAATTAATTTCAGATTATAATTTTTATTTATTGTTAACTTAACTCGTACTAGCCACATTTAGTTCTTCACTCTCAGTAATATCATTTGTCTTGTTAAAGTCTGAACTATTGGTGTTACTCATTTCAAAAACTGCGGAATCTTCAGTACCATATACAGGGTGTCTCAGAGTCAGCGTCCATTAGAATATTTTGGGAAGTGATGCTATTTGAATACTGCAAATTTGGATAATGACATTTTCGGAGACGCTCTTTTCAGATGAGATAACAGCGACATTATGTGACTTGAATTTGAATTGTTTCAAATTTCCTTATTTTAAATGGTACACCGTTTATAATGTTTTTGCTTGTGTTCTTTTGTTTATTTCCAATAACTTTTAAGAACAGTTTTTCTACCCTACTCTATTCGTTTCTGAGCAAAATATAGTTTTTCAAGCTTTTTGGTTTTTTCTCAAAATCCGTTTTGAAAAGTTTTTGAATGCATTTTTGATGAAAAATTGATTTGAGACACGGAATTTTGTTTTAGTAAAAATTTTTCGCGTATTTTCCTTAATACTGGCCTCAAATGGAAATTTGAAATTTAGCAGAAAAAGGATTGATAACAAAATTCCAGGCCATTTAAGGTCGAAAACCCGAATTTTAGAAAAACATATTTTTTGCTGTGAACGTTTTTCTCCTCATAACTCTTCATCTTGGCCCCATTTGGGCCATTAAGACTGCGTTGCAAAGAGCACAATCTTCTGTAAAACCGGCTTTTCAGGCAATTCCAATCTGTTAAGAAACGTAAGATTTATTACGATTTGAACGTCGAGTAATTTTTTTCCTATTTTACACTTTAGCCAAACTTGAGATAGATTTAAATGCAAAACAAGCATTTTCAGACACGAAAATCGCACTTTATTTAAATTACGGTTGAGAAAACTAAACTCGGTTAGAAAACTGGAAAGTTCTGAGGGTTTGAAGGCCGGATATCCAATTTTTAAGCCAAAAATAATTTGAATTTTCACACTATGTGGGGAAAAAGATTTAGAATTGTTGTACTTTTGGCAAAATTTGGTGCATTTGAGCGCTAATAGTACATTTTTGGAGAAGAAAATCGCAATATTTTATTGAAAATTGTACGCAAGTCGTGAACCTGAATTTTTGGGAGATAAAATATTTGCGCTCGCTTACTTAAACATTTACATCCCACAGACTAAAGCAGGCAGGCTTTTATCATCTTTAGTAGATACTTGACCCTATAGACATGGAAAGTTTCAGAAAAATCCATCCGGAACCTGATTTTTGTAATGTAAATGTGACTAACAAAATTGATGGTGTCAGTCAATTGCGCCCGCTTACTTAAAAATTCGCATCTCTCAAACTCAAGCACGCAGGCATTTGTGGATGCACTCAAGAACGCAGGGTGTTTCATTTAAAATAAGTAGTTTTTAGACGACTTCTGGTATAACCGGATTATTCCTACGAGAGTGATAATAGTTTTTAGTCGTTTCTTAGGAACTATGTAGGAATGTCTAATAATGAGGGAATTTATCCATTATATAGGAACTTTGAATTTAATTTTAAATTTATACGTATTGAATTATATCAAAGAGACCCTTTTATAATTACTGCTTCAAGCATGAACAGCATTCGTAAATTTACGAGGCAAATAATTCCTTCTTCTCTCTCTTAAATTACTCTCAATTATTTAAAATTCTCCAATCCATTTTTTCCAGTGTGAAGTTCCTTAACAAACAAGACAATGTCTCCTCCCTACAAACTTACATATTTCGACATCATGGGCCTGGCTGAACCCATCAGACTGCTCCTCAGCTATGGGAACCTCGATTTTGAAGACTGCCGCGTTCCCAAAGAAAGTTGGCCCAATATAAAACCAAGTAAGACTTTTTTATACCACTACTACATACAAAGTAACGCATGTTTAAACGCGTGTTTAAAAGCGGATTGCAAGAAAGACTAGCCAATTATTTTCGGGTTTTGTTCGGTGAATTTCTAATAATTGCTGTGTATTCCTGCGATGTTTAGTTATTAAAAATTTGTACTTTTTTGAGTATTTCGAAAAAAAATTGTTCGTCTATCTCCTACTGCAATTTGTCCAATAAATATTACTTGGAAATTAAGCATCTAATGTGAAACTTCCAGATATGCCTTTTGGTCAGATTCCAGTCCTGGAGTTCAACGGCAAAGTTTACCATCAGAGTATCGCAATTTCAAGATATTTAGCCAAGCAAGTCAAGTTGGTCGGCAAGGACGATATTGAAGACATGGAAATCGATGCTATCGTCGATGTTCTTATGGATTTCCGCAGCAGTAAGAAACATAACTTTTCTTGGAAATCGAGAATAGAAATAAATATCCGGATTGTTTTAGAGGTGGCCAAGTATCATTATGATGGCGATGAAGCCGCAAAAGAAGCGTATGCGAAGACTTTGTTTGGAGAAATCGTACCCTATTACTTGGAGAAGTTGGATAAACAAGCTAAGGAAAACGGTGGTTACTTGGTTGGAGGAAAGGTACGAACTGAATTTTAACGAATTCAAATTTGTTGATTATTCAATTTTTTTTCTGCTAGTTGACTTGGGCTGACTTAATTTTGGTCGGTTCCATTGACTACATGAACTTCATGGCAAAGAAAGAGTTGCTTGCTGGCGCTCCCAATTTGCTCAAAGTGAAAGAGAATGTGGCTGCGGTACCCAACGTACAGAAATATTTGGAAACCCGTTCAAACAGCCACGTTTGTTAAGCATTTATATCTTATTTTGAAAAAGAAGTTTCAACTAATCGGATTTTGTATCATGAATGTTATGGGTGTTAAATTTTTTCGGGCGTTATAAAAATTAAGTCCAGTATATATTTCTAATAAACGAATTACCGCAGGAATAAGTACATTTTATTCTCCTTTACCACCTTTTCCTCTTTTGGATGTTAATTTAGCAAGAAAAATCAGTATATTTGAGCCGCCAAAATATTACTGTTTATGATAGTTTCGATCCGAATGTAGTAGAAAAAAAATTAGTTTAAATTTTTTCAATCTCAAATATTTATTTTATTTTTACAGACTGCCAGGTTTACCGTTTTTGGAGTAGATCTACTGATATCCTACTGAACACATTCTTCTAGAGTACTGAATTATCTCCCTTAGCTACTTAGTCAAAAATACGACCAGGCAACCTTGGGTTCCTTCATTGAGCCATTTTTTTATTGTTGAATTAAAATATCAGTTTTGTTGATCGAAAGGTCTAGTGTTGCTCGTGTGTCGTGAGATTGGGATCGTTTTTAAAAATATATTCTTTCAAACTATGGATACAGCTAGAGAGTTAGTAAGTAGAATACAATATTTGTAATGTCTGATTAAGTTATAACAAGCTTTAAGATAAGCTTCACTTAAAAACCCCAATACTCAGGTTTATTCTCACAATAACAAAAAATCCCTAAAACTATTTCAGTTTAGTGACTTGTGCACTTTAAAGCGTACTAACTTGCCAAATTTTTAGCTTCACCAAGGAACATGTACTAATATTATACTTCTTATAGCGAAAGTTTTGAGTTGATTATTATTCACTGAAGAATGTGAAAATGTGTATTTGAAAAAGTGTAATTTTTTTTATATAAAAAGCTCCGGAAATTAAAATAAAAATGTTTTTGTGTTCTAATGTCCTTTGATATGTTCTAACTAACGAAAATAAATATTAATAAAGGAATACTGAAACGTAGATAACGTACTTTTGAGAACGACTTTATTGAACATGTTAGCTAGAAAAAAATTGTCGTTTACTTTAGAAAAAAATGCAGCAACCACTGCCTAGCCTAACATACTTTGCTGTACCTGGATTAGCAGAGCCAATCAGATGGCTCTTAGCCTATGGCGACTATGAGTATCTGGAAAACTCGATTTCGTTCGACATTTGGGGCGATTACAAAGAATGTAAGTCATCACCTACATGCATTTAAAGTATGTTTATGAATGTTATATCACTGCAGCAACTCCTGCCGGTCAACTGCCCATTTTCAAAGTAAAAGGAAAAGTTTTACATCAGAGTATGGCCATTTCGCGGTTTCTGGGAACTATTCAAAACCTTGCAGGGAACACTCCGATGGAAAATTGGGAAATTGATGCGGCCGTTGATACGGTGACGGATTTGAGATTAAGTAAGTAACGTACCAAAATGTTCTCATATTTATATACAGGGTGATTCCGAGGTTTCATCTTGATAACTTCGGAAATCAATAGACCAGGAGAAACTAGAAACTTTATAACTTTTGAACCGTTCATCGGCGATTGAAAAAGTGACTGGCTCCTCTGCTATTGATGGACAAAGGTCTTCAAAAAAATTATCTTCTTTGAGAAATTGGGAGAATGGTACGATCTATTTTAGTGAAACGTGCTGTGAATTTGTTCTTGGAATCAACTCATTTTTGTTTCTTTGAGGCATCAGTTATTCACAATTTTGTGCTCTTCGTAAAATCTTGCAGCATTCATAGTTTTTGCGCAAAAAATATGTTTTCTTGCCACTTTAGACATACGCTTTGATAGAAAAGGTCATTCGAAACGAATTTGTGAGATTAATTGACAATTAATTTATTTCTCGTATCACGATATTTGCAGTTAATGTATAACATTGTTAAGTGGCAAGAAAACAGATTTTTTTTTCGCAAAAACTATGACTTTTACGAGATTTTACAAAGAGCACAAAATTGTTAATCAACCAAAAAAAACGAGTTGATTTCATTCACCAAATAAAAAGTTCTGGTAGTTTTTGTACTACGACACTCAAGAATTCATCACGTCCAAAACGGATGAACTCGATTGTTTCATTAAAATATGAGAACAAATTCACAGCGAGTTTCACTAAAATGCATTCATACATTCCCCAATATTTAAAAAAAGATAAATTTTTTGAAGAACTTTGTCCATCAATAGCAGAGGAACCAGTCAATTTTTGTTAATAACAGTTAGGTCAGATCGTTTCCTTTTGATGCAAAGGATATCGCAGGACACCCTGTATATTACGGGACACCCTGTATATTTTGTGGGTGCGCCCCACTAATTTTGTATCAAAAGTTGAACAAAAAAAGTTATTTTAATGCTACACAGGGCTATTCACTGATTCAATATGAAGCTGCAGCTCTGTCTTTTGTGACTTTTTCAAATTTGAGATATTTAAAGAAATTGCAAACTAATGGAGCGTACGAGTTACGTACATTTCATTAAACGTTACAGCAAGCCATGGAAACTCAATGATTTCTGTCAACTTGAGTTTCTGCAGAATATTGTCGCAAGTTTATTTCAAAAGTGTTTTTTGCGAAGTACCAGTGACTCGGCCGCCACGCTCGCCTGATCTGAATCCATTGGATTATTTTATTTGGGGGATATCTAAGGTCAATCGTTTATGAATCAGCAGTAAATACCTGTGAGGAATTGATTCATAGGGTTCAAAAACGCTTGTAATAAAATAAAAATAAGCTCGTACCTACAATTAACAGCTGTATTGCTGTAAATTATTGCTTAAAATTTTAACAATTTTTTCGGTTCTGGCATGAAAAACCCTTTTGAAATAGACTTGTAACAATATTCTGTACAAAAGTTAGTTGGTTTCCGTCGCTTGCTGTAGCGTTTAATAAAATGTTCGTTACTACATTGTCCCGAATTTCATAAAATATATCAGAAAGTAACAAAAATATGAGAAAATGACTAGAGAAAAAAATGTTTCACAAAATGTGCACAGTACCATAGAGCCGTTTGTATTGATATAAGTTTTATTATTAAGTGCAGTTTAAAAAGCCAAAGTTGATGTCACAGAGTACACTAGAAGTATACTAAAATATGTATGCAAATGCAGATCGCAAATTTAAGAAACATGGTATTTAACGGTTATTTGCTTTCTACAGAAATTGTTGCTTGGAGTGTGGAAACGGACCCCGAACGTAAAGACCGGCTGGCTTACACTTTGCAAAATGAGTTTCTCCCCGAATTTCTAGGGAATTTGGAACGTCAAGCGGAGAAAAATCACGGTCATCTAGCACTGAAAAAGGTATACATTTATATATTGAATATATTGAAACTGGATTATCCTTGATGTTTTCAGATAACTTGGGCAGATATTGTTTTCGCAGCAACCGACCATTTTTTAAGTGATGTCTATACAAGCGCATTTGGAGGAACTGAGTTATTAAGTGGCTATCCAAATCTCTTGTCTATTGTCAGAAGTGTGCGAAATATTCCCACAATTAAAAGGTGGCTAAGTAGCAGGGACCATGAGTTATCTTAACTCTTACATTTATTGAATCAAATCATAAACGATAGGATAATATTTTATTTTTTATTTTACTCATTGGCTGTTAATTTTTGTGGAAATAAATATTGTTCTTACTTCTACGTATACTTTTTTATTCATATTATTATTGTTATTAGTAAATGTGCTCAAAACTTCATGAAAACCAAATTTGAGTCAACTACAAAGCGTGCGTCTTCAAGTGCGGCTGATGAAGAGTGCCCTCACTCTAAAACGAACCACCTTAAATAATTATTAATTACGGAATTTACGATTTAAATGCAACGTCATTTCTCATTTTTGAAGGCATTACATTTTTTACATGGAGACACCAAGGAAAAGAAAATCGAACTAGTCGCCCTCGATGGAAAGAATGAACAAATTGTAAATTGAAATTGAAAATAATCAGCGAACGCAAACAGTATTGAACTCTGTAATTGGGAACACAGTAAGAATTACTTTGGGTATCCGCAAATCAAGTGATATATTGATGCCAAAACATAAGAATTTAGTAGGTTTGAGCAAAACCACTAACATTCCTTCCCAGATACAAAAGATATCAGGATCGATCGTTGTAATAAACAATCGGCGTACATACTTAATTTACAAACTTACCAAACTTATTTTCAACCTGCAAAGCAAAAGTGAGAAATATAAAGAATCCATAAAACTTCAGTGGCTTGTCGGAAAACTAAAAGATTTAGGTATAGATTAGAGATCATTCTAACCAGCTTTCTGCAAGCTGGAGCCCCATCCTCTATTTTCTACCCATTTGCCGTACTGCCAACTACCGCACTTAAGGGCCACAATAATTCTATATTTCCCATCGAAGAACGCGATTCACATAACACTGTCGGTAGCAAACTGAATATTCATACCTACACCTTTTCTAAAAAAACGACACCGAAGTACAGAATAAACATGATTAGAACTGAAAATTCATACTCACTCATGACTCAAAACTTAATACATGATTATATAATCAATTGCTGGTTCGGCCTTTTGATGATTCATTGTGCTGCTCTTGCTTGGCAGTTCTATTTCAAATTTAGTTTATCAATCTGTAATAAAAAATGTGAGGAAATTTTTGAGGCGAAATACTCAACAAACAGATTGTGAAAAATTATATTTCAGTTTGTTTATCGTTGACATTTTTGTAAAAAGTGTCTGTTCGCATTGCAATATTTCCAAAGGCAAATTTTACGTTCCAGCTTAACGAAAGTGAACAACAACAATTTTGAATTTAGAGGAATTACTATTTATCTGAGTTTCAATGCTGAATGTTACAAGATTTTACAAACAGCACAAAATTGTGAATAAATGGTTAGTGCATCAACAAAAAAAAAAAATGAGTTGATTCCATTCGCCAAATTAAAAATTCTGGTAGTTTTTGTACCACGACACTGAAGAATTCACCACTTGTCCAAAACGGCTGAACTCGATTGTTTCATCAAAATATGAGTCTTACATAAAAGCAAATTCCCAGCGAGTTTCACCAAAATATATCGTACCATTCTTTCGATATTTCAAAAAAGATATTTTTTTTTAAGAACTTCGACTATCAATAGCAGAGAAGCCAGAATTTTTTATTAATAAAAGTTAGGTCAGATCGTCTTCTTTTGATCCAAATAATATCGCAGTACGGGTCACCCTGTATATATTTAAACCGATCTTTTAAAGGATCCTAGAGACAATAACCTCTGTAATCTGTAGACTTTTCTCGAAAAAACTGAGTCGTTCTGCCTCGCCAAATGAGACGAGAAAACTGAAAAAAAAATTAACAATCTTACATTTATTTCAAATATTATATTTTTAAACTTTTTTCAAGAGAAGCATTTTTCTGTGTTGACCATAACCTGATGCCTTAACTACTGTATTTATTTCTTGAAGTAATTTAATAAATGCACTGAAAGTTGTATTAGAAACAATTTAGAAGTTTAAAAAATTAAAAATGATTAAGCAAATTTTGATAGATCTAAGTGGAACATTGCACATCGAGAATCAAGCCATCCCTGGAGCTGTAGAGGCCCTAAAAAGGTATCAATGTAAACCTCTGATGTATTATTTTATTTATTTAACTGCTATTCTTTGTTTCCGAGCAAACTGGTATCGTCGCTCTTTTATTAATGATATCAAGCAAATAAGACACTTATACATTGAGAGCTACATTGATTTTTTAGCAAGTCTAATTAAAATACAGGGTGGTTCTTTATCTGGAATAAATTCATTAGTGAATAATTTTTCTAAAAATTCAGGAGACTCATCAACGTTTTGATTGTGTATTTTGCGACTTCAGGGTGAGCCGAAATCAACCTCAACATGTTTTCTTAAAGGCACTCCTTCATTGGAAAGCTGCTCTCTCAAGCGCAATAAATAATAAATAACTAGCCAGCCTGACAGGCATAAATGCATTTGTATAGATTCGAATGTGAACTTCTTCTGAACAACGTGAAAGTTTAATGTGTTTGATAAAAGTTTCCCAACGAGCCTCTAATCTGTGCATCTTCAACTAGTCTCTAATCCAGGGTTTTCCAAACTTTTTCGATACTGGAACTTTGCAAACCCAGATATTTTAACGGAACACTTGTTTATTTTTAAGTTGATTTCTACTGAACTTTATTTTAACACCTAAAAAAAGGTCACCACATGATTTAGTTTTGTGCCAAATCGCAGTTTTTATTGAGCAATCTTTTCTTTCCTTTCTATTGCTGGATTTGTACAAGTGTCGATTTTTCGAATTTTGCTCCTACTTCGTAAACATACCTACAAAAACATCAAACAGGCAATTTAACTAAAATACCGTTTTAAAACTTCGAGATTGGCACAGCAAAATCTCAAAATCAAGTTTGTCACAAACACCACCAAAGAAAGCAAAAGAATTTTGCATGATCGACTAACAAATCTGGGCTTCACAGTGAACAAAAATGACATTCTCAGTTCACTAGGGGCGTGCAGAAATTTGATAGAGAAAAACAACCTGAAGCCAATGCTTATGGTAAGTTTCACTATTTCCCAACGAGTCAAAGAACAATCTGAAGTTTTATTGAAGATTGCGCCAGATGCTCTAGAAGACTTTGAAGGACTTGCTTGTCCCAGAAATGAAACACCCAATGCGGTGGTCATTGGTTTGGCTCCAACTGAATTCAACTATGCAAGACTTAATGAGGCGTTTAGGTGCGTATTTATTAAAGTTTCAGCCCAGCACTTTTTTCTATCGTTAATTTTTGAAGATATTTACAAAATGGGGCTCAATTAATCGCCATTCATGCAGGCAAATATTACAAATCAAGTGATGGAATGTCGTTAGGACCTGGATGTTTTGTAAAGGGTTTAGAATATTCCGCACAATGTTCAGCTACTTTGGTTGGAAAACCGAATAAACTATTCTTCCAATCACCTCTTGATGAGGATGTGAAGCCTGCGGAAGCAATTATGATCGGAGATGTACGCTATGCTCTGCCTTATTGACAATAACTGGGCGTTTTAACCAAAACCTTTTAGGATGTTACCGATGATGTGAAAGGGGCAATGGATGCTGGATTGCGAGGCTATTTAGTTAAAACGGGCAAATACAGGGAAGGCGATGAAAGCAAAATATCTCCGGCCCCAACGGCAGTGTTTTCCAGCTTTGTTGAAGCCGCTGATAAAATCATAGAACAACTAACTCAGAAAACGGTTTATTGCACATAAATTATCATATAAAAATAGTGTATATAGAATACTTATGTTAGTATTGTTTCAATTACTGTTATAATAAACGTATTTTATTTTAGATAGAGAGCACAAATATAAAAATATGTATCAAAGATATCAACAAACAACATTATACATAATGTATAGGTACTTTCAACAGGTATATAAATAAATACTGCAGTTATAATACTTTGTCACTTGGAGAACGGTTTTCTGAAAAATAAAATTGATTCATTGAACTGTGTAGAAGCAAGTACAGAACATTAATAACACATTCAACTGTTGGCTAAAAATGCCAGTGCAATCGATTATGATCCTACATCATGCTTTTCTGATCCTTTATGAAATCGCATGATTTCGCAAATTTCCACAAAGAGCAGACACGGCTTAGTTAAAAGCTTAGTAAGAAGGCTTAGTTARAAGCTCGTAACTGTCTGAATTATTTGCTCTCTCTTACTTAKGGCTCTTAAACCATATTTTATTAAGACTATAGTTAAARTTAAAAAAACATGATGTGTCATAATTGCGTCAGTACCTTTCCTAGATGTTATATCGCTATACTAAACGGTCGAAGAAGCATGAAATATTGAACCATAAGCAAATTTTTCAGTTAGAATCACAAAAAAAATGTTTAAAAAATTGGTGAGTTTTGTGAAATTTTTAATATTAAAAAGTGTGTTATAGATTCGTAGTTCAAAGATGAAGTCAAGTTCAAAAATAAAAATGTTTTTGCTATAATTCGACTAAATATATTAAATTGAATTTAGGTATTATTGGTTGTTAATTGATCCAACCACTTTATAAATGCACTTTTGTGAGCTTCTTAAGGCGAAAGGAATCGACTGAGCGCAAAAAACAGGCATGTGAACTTTTTATTTTCAGCCGAAATTTTTTAAAGATGGGGACGATTTTTTGAAAAAATATAAATTTTCCCAAAATGCCTTGAAATCTACATCACTGTGATCTCAAGGAAGTGAGGAATGCAACGAACTACATAGTTGAAAAACACGCCAAAAGTTTCAGTTCTGAATTAATCGATATTTTCGACACATTTTATGCGTTTTTTGACCATTCACCGACGATTTCTTCCTTATTATTGATCCAACCAAGCGCAAAACTGTTCACTATTTTAAAATCGAAAAAGAGACGCCGGTAATTCTAAGTTGTATCGRAAATTGTACCAATGGACCAAAAAATTAAGTACTAGACAATACATTTTATCATCATTTGCCACAACATACGTAAAAGCATACAGAAAAGCAAAGCCAACACTTACTTGCGTACTGCCACGGGCAATCCTGAGTTTTTCTCCTTATTCTCTACTGGTTTGAAACTGGCGTTCTTTGAACATCTGGATGTAGTTCCTTCACAATATATATTCGCTATGGTTTTTACGTTAGTTTGTACTAATCCTGTTAAACTCTCTCCTAGAGATAGATCGTTCGCGCTAAATCTCTTGAAACATATAGGCGCTTTGTCGCCCATTTCCAGCTTGTGAGTACTAGAAAATCGCCTTCTGATGCGGCTTTTCATGTAATCTGTACTTTCAACTTCTGCAGAGTTTACGAATTTTGAATTTGCAAAGGCCGGTATTCTGGATATATCTCTGCAAGCGGCTTTACAATCGTCCGATTTTTGCAAACTTCCCTCACTATTATTGCACTTATCACTAACATTTGTTCTCAAATTCATCGAGCTTTTGGTGTGTCGCACAAATCGGGATATTTTCCCTCTATCCCCAGTAGAATGTGCATCTAGAGAATGATCGCTAAAAGACTTGGATTTATCCTCGAAAGAAAAGCTATTAGTTCTAGATGGTATAGGAATTTTACTTTCGCTGTTGCTGATATTAAGACTTCGCCGTTTCAGAGCAAAGCTCGACTTTGATGTCTCGCTACGACGAATTTCACTGCTAAAAACGCAGGAGTTTCTTTTCATCTTTGGCTTAAGCTCCTTGGCGGCCTCAGCCACATGTTGGATGTTCACCTTGAGCTCATCAGTCATGTTTGTGGTCGTCGTTGCTAAAGCTTTAATATCATTCTCTGTCAAAGTTTCCGCAGGATTAATATTCTCCACTGAAATAATCATATCTTTTTCTTCAAGTTTAATTGCGCGATCTTCAATGTTTTCCTGAAATCGACCGGCTTCATCTGCCATGCTAATTTCATCCAACCAGGAAGTTAAATTCTCTGCTGATTCGATCAGTTTAGTCACTTCTGTGGAGGTTCGAATCGGCGTTTTTAGATCCCGATCTCTATAGGAGGAATCACCGAAATCTTGTGGTAGCGCAACACCCGCGTCTGTGTAAAAATGCTGATCGAGAAAAGGCATTAGACTGAAAAAGATAACAAAAATAAGCACGCTACAAAACAATTTAACCATACACAATTTATGCTGAGGGGTATTTAAATTAATTTTATTTAAAAATGTTGTCTAATTGATCGGAAAAGAGGGTACTTTGTCGGAACGCAATCTGAATAGGAAGAGTGACATTTATTTGAACTATCTAAAACTTTAATTGAATGCACTTTAGTTACAACAGTTTGTTTGGGTAGGTTGCACCTAAATATCATGTAAATATAGATTTCGTCTGTTTTGAAACTGTTCTGTTTGAAAAAAACACGGCTTGAATATTTCAATCTTCTTAGCCGCGTTTGCACTAATCGGAAAATGCAACAAGTAGATTTTTTGTACAAAAAAGAGCGTGGACACTTTAGTAAACTACTAGTAATTCTGTATACAACAGGATCTAGCAGCTTGAGTGCAATAAAAAATGCTGAAGTGGAAAATAATGGCGATTTTAAGCAAAAGTGACGGCAGTGGACAAACATTTAACGTATTTGCTACTTGCTGAAAAAGGACTTAAACTTATAAATAATTTATTTACCTTGGAGTGTGATTTACAGTGGCAGCGGCGGCTCTTTTACTGGCTGATGAAGACGTTGAAGATTGCTTTGGAATAGCTGACTTGGTGACTGATATTGTCGGTTGCTTGTCTGTCGTGTCCCTTCCTAGGTCTGAATCTATAAAAAAAAACAATTATGCGACACCAAAAATAATCTCGCACCTTTTAGTGAATACCCACCAATCTGAGGTCCAATTCTAATCCCAGCAAATCTCCCTTTCAAAATTCGGTCTTCTTCGTCCGCTCTGCGGCGATCTTCCACTAAAACTTCGCTCTTGATATTCCGAATGGTTCGCATTTCTTTCAGCTTTAGCTTGAGCATCATTATCACATCTCGATCTGCTTCCATCATTTCCATTTTCGAAAGAATGTTTTCGAGCTTTAGTTGAAGGGCTCTATCAGCCGGTAAGTTGAGCATTTGCTTCAGAATTGGGCAGAGTTTTACCATGGAAAGTCGCACGATTGCAATCTGATCCTCTGGCAAAGTTTACGACAATTAGAGCTTTTAAAGTCAAGTCCATTGAATGGGTTACCTGCTAAGCTTAACAGCGGCAGATAGAAGTACTCTTTGAAATATCCCCAGCTGAAAATATCAATAGCGTGCGTGCATAGAGTGATATACACCTGACGGGAATAGCAACAAGGTGCGTTGCACAATTGCGTCTGGATCATTTCCCTGATCCATTTTCGGTGGTTTTCCTTTAAACTGTATTTTAGGATTATCAGGAGGGTTCTGGCAGCTTGAGAACGCACTGGTTTGGCTTTCTAAAACAAAAGTCGTCGCAACCAAGTGAGAAAGCCGTTAAAGTGGATGGAATAAGCACACATACGCCATAGATTGTAGCATTTAAAACCACTGGGGAAAAATGCTGATGAATGAAGTCGGACGGGAAACAGTTTGGTAGTCGTTCCCACTGCATCAAGAGACACTCTTTCATGCGCCAATTGTTGGTTCTGAATGCTTCGTTTTGGCATTTAAGCATTGCGCGGCCAATATCCAGTGTGGCTTGAACCGGGATTTCTAGCCAAAAAAATGATTTAAACCTAGTCAATTTAATTAAAAAAAAAAAACCTCGTTGAAGCACATTGGTGGCAGTGAACAGTTCCATAATATTAGCAACATTGGGAATTAAAGCTTGCAGGACTTCTTCGTCTTCATCTCTCAATAGCTTAGTGAAATCAATCACCACTATTTTATTGGAAGGGCCTATGAAAGACACAAAGCTTTGAAGAACATTCGGCGAAAAAGAATTAGGATGAATTTTACCTAAAATCCTTACAATATCCGAAAACCGGTTGGCCACAGCTCTGCGCACTATGTAACATGGATCGGCGGCCAAAGCTTTAAAGGTGTGATACCATTTCGAGCTGACTTCAGTGGGAATTTGAGCCAGTACCATTGTGACGACTTTGGGAAGACAGTTGGCGCAATTTTCCCGGCATAACATAGACTAAGACCGTATGAAATCGTGAACAACCTGTGACATAAATAGAAAATTGACTCACTATGGCAGGGTCGGTATCCAGATCTTCTACTAATGACAGCCCCTTTCTGCAGATATGATTGAAATAGTCCAAAAACCACATTGAATCCCCAGTACTCATCTGGGGTTGCAAGTTGTTGATAAGCATGCTAAAAACGCTTGAAATTGCGGTATATGTTGTATCTCCTACAATCCCAAAAAGTTGGTTTTCATGTGACTTTAAGTTCCGATCTGGGTTACCTTCTGAAGCACTTCGAGTGCACAGTTTCTTAGCCAAGGGGATGATTGTACCTTTTATTGTATCTAAAATGCATTCGTTCGACGTCAGACGTAAAATTCAATTCGGTAGAGACAAAATATTACCTGGACTTAAGAATGGGATAATGGAGACCATAGACTCGATCGCAATTGATCTAACGTTAACATTTTCATCAGCAGAGAGTTCAACGAGAAGAGGAAGCAGATTTACTTTTACAATAGCGTCACCCAAGTTGAATAAACCTAAAAACCATTTAACGATTGAATTTCGATGATGTTCACCAAGATACAGGGCATTACGTAAACATCTGGTAAACCCCTTTATTTAGCCAGTACCCACACTTAAATATCAAAAATAATATGCCAATGAACAAGTCCTTATATTGAATAATAGAACACCAACAGATGGTTCAAAATGTAAGGAAAACATTAATAGTAGTGATGTAATTCGAAAAATCAATCGAAGTTATCGTACCAAATGGCCAAGTAAAAGCTACAACTTTCGGTGAAGATAGTGTTAAGATTATTTATAGTACTGCATAAAATAACATAAATTTGCTAGTGACTTCGTATTATTTTCAGGTCGGCAATACATATTTTTGCGTACCTTGCGCAACGTTAGGAAGTTCCCTGCACATTGCAGCTCGAACTTCGAAAAAACAATCTTGACATAGGCTCTGGACCAGTGGTAACACATCCTTTTTCACCCTAAAAGGGCAATTTCGCTATAGCAACAGCTAGCTAATAAAACTGCTGGACTTACTCGAAAGGATTCATGGTTTTATGCACTGAAATCTCACCCAATATTTTGCAACTGGATACTCTAAAATACGCAGCCTTGGACAGTTGGGACTTTGCGATTGCACATTTTAGAATATCGTTTTTAACTATCTGCTCTTTTAATAGAGGAATCACTGCAAGCAAAGTCTCCATCCAAGCATTTGAGATCATCGGATCTCTGTTGTCTATGCCTTGCAAAATCTTCCAAGAAGTTGCAATTAATCTGCGATATTATTGGGCAATTCTAAAGATAACTTACCTGTGGCACCAGATTGACTGGAATGTCCATATGGATTAATATATTAAACATCCTACTCACAGCCAGGTTGAATTCTGAGGAAGAATTTGGTAACTCTTGTTGGATTTTCGGGATAATCTTTGAAACAGTCCCTTTTTGGTCATATTTCAATAGTTCAGGAAGGGATCCTATCACGCTTAGCTTCTGTAGTTCATCGCCTTTGCTGCAATGGAATGCAATTTTTTGGTACCTCAAACCATTGAGGCACGGTGTTTATGGAAAAGAAAACAAGCAAAATGCAACATTTGCTGGTAATCTGAAAGGAACCAAGACTCGAGGTTCTTTCGAATCCAAGCACAGAAGACGAGAAAACAAGAAGCAACCAAAAGACACCAAAGCTAAAATGAACTACAGAAAGCTAGAAAAAATAGGGGTGAAGCTTAGTGAGTATATTTGTATTTACACGGGAAATATATTTCTTAAATCGGACCAATTCAGATCAGATCGAACAGAAATTTTGCATCCCAGCACTTTCTGAAAACGGCTTGCCTCTTTTTTCCTTCGAGCTTCTACAGAATTTTAATCGGTATTCAATAGATTTTTTATTTTATTTAAAGTCTTATCAGCCCATAGAAATGAAAACATAGCAGCATAACGTTCGCAGACTAAACTGAAACTTGTTCCTGTTCAAAAAAAATCAAATTTTACCGAATAATTATTAAGCAGAAAGCAACTAAGCCCCAAATGTTAAGGCATTTATTATTATAACAATGTTGCAGCGCGTTAAAGCGAATTTTCGGCCCTTTTTCTATCTGGGGCCTAGTCGCCTTTTGATTAATATAAAAAACAAGCATTTTACGTTAATAGCCGCTCTTCTTCCTCCAAGAAGTTTCTCAGCCACTCGTCTTCGTCGTCGTCACTCATTTTTGAGTATGTTGTGCGACGTGTTACATTTTCAAGAACAGTTTTTGTAACAGAACTTTGTTAAATTAGGGCAACATCAAGGTAATAGCAAGATGTAAACAAATAATTAGGTTACGCTCATGATTTGGGGGCTTTATGGCGCATGTCACCGCCAATTTCAAATCACAGAAATTTTGATTTTGAAACAATTACCTTACGATAAATAACGCTCTGTCCACGGGTTTATGTTCATAGAAGACTTCATCTATTGAATGTTTCTGCAGTTCTGTTGTGCTCTAAACATTATTTAATTATATAAGTATATTGTCTTAAACTTTCCTTAGAAATTACCTACTTTGCCTTGGCCAGGCTTATCCAGCTGCAGCATCCGCATTTCCTCATCCATACGCATTTCTATATCAAACTGTGCTTATTTAAAAAAACCAGAGACAAAAACTGAAAAAAATCTGTCAAAGTCACGAACAAAACTGTCAAACTAGTGAAAAGCACACAAATTCCGCAACATCGCCAAGAGTAGAATAGCATAATCCGTTTAATGATGCCATATTTTAAATAGTTCGGAAACATCAATTTTAATTCAACTCAATAAAATAGTGCTTGCTTGGAAGGAAAGGGTAAATAATTTGAAATTTTTGAATGTGAGTAAAGGCTTGGCAATGTTGCATCAGGAATCTAACCTAATACATAACAAACGTCACTGTCACAGTTCGCAATTTTGTAGGTTGATGGTTCGTAAGTTGCCCCCAAACCCATTGCATAACACCCTAATAGTCTTTTCCTAGATTTAATCTGAAGGGCAAAATGCTGAAGCCAAGCACTGTATCCGGATATTTCCGTGCCACCAGCCAAGTGGTGAGCAACCAGTTGAATGTGTCCAACAATGCAGCAATTTTGCCCAAGAAGAAGGTAGCTCACATTCCCTTCCAGGGAACTTCTGCTCTTTCTTTAGCCAAAACGCTACCCAATGCTAACTTGTCAGTATCTTGCGGCCCCGCTGCCTCACTCCAAGTCAGGTATTTTTACCTATTAGGTAATATTGTGGGCAAAATTAATTGATTTGGGATCAATCGCAGATGGGCACACACTGACATTACGGTACCAAACTTCGACAACTATCGCAGAAATTCGACGAAAGATCCTACGCGAAAGGCCTCAGAAACTGAGGATACGAGAAAGAACTTCACCTATCTGCTTGCTGGCGGTTTAGGGGCTGCTTCTGTTTATGGAACTAAAAACATTGTGACCTATTTCATCAGCTCAATGAGCGCTTCCGCTGATGTATTAGCTTTGGCTAAAATCGAAGTCAAGTTGGGTGATATTCCCGAAGGGAAATCCGTTACCTTCAAATGGAGAGGTAACACATTAATCTTCCTGTACAAACTCGCATATATCAATTGCGAACACTTCCAGGCAAACCTCTGTTTATTCGGCACAGAACTGCAGATGAAATCGCCGCAGAACGAGCCGTTCCCGTAGAATCTCTTCGGGATCCTCAACATGACAATGATCGTATTCAAAAGCCCGAATGGCTTGTCGTATTGGGGGTTTGCACCCATTTGGGTTGTGTGCCCATTGCCAACTCTGGCGATTTTGGGGGCTATTATTGTCCTTGCCATGGCTCTCATTACGATGCCTCTGGCAGAATCAGGAAAGGCCCTGCGCCCCTCAACTTGGAAGTCCCTTACTATGAGTTCGCAGCTGAAGATACTTTAGTTGTGGGTTAAAGCGAATATTACCAGTTATTCATTGAAATTCTGATTTTGGTTCAGGCCCTTCTAATATAAGGTTAATCAGTGTTTATTCTTAGCGCGCCTATTGGCCACTAGAAAAAATTAAAACTTAGGAACCAAAACTACCATTTTTATGAATATTTAAATATGCGTGTTTCTAAATCAATTTTCGTGTTAAAACCAACTTATTTATGATTAAAATGCAGTGAGCCTGTACATGTTTGAGTTTTATGTGATAAGTCCGATAGTAACAGATATTTGCAGTGTAATCCCGACACCCACAAACAGTAAAGCAACAGTGAACTGTATATAAAATTTGTTTTAAATAAAGCAAATAAAAATACTAATGCGTTTCTTTCTCTGGAGTTATATAAACCTGATCGTACATTTTCAAGCTTTAGCTTTTGCAGCAAAAAAATCATAATTTTTTAAATCAAAAACTGTCCAAATTAAATTATCTTACGCTTTGAAAAGCAGAGGAAAGTGGCGATCGTACGGTGCTTTTAGATACGGTTTTAATCAACTTTATACAATTACAAGAGAATCATTGTTGAATCTTGTGTCATTGCAATATCGCTGATTGTGAATATATGGAGAATTAAACTATACATTCATTAAGTGCCACACCAGAGACGAAATATAGACAGAAAAAAAGGGGAAAGGTTAACGTTTTTTTCGCCGTTGACAATTGCGAAATTAAGCCATCGGCTTAAACCGAACGATACAGCGCTTGTTTTTCGACCACGAGACAGATATTTAAAAGCGCCTTTAACTCAGTGAAACTTGACTGAGGAAATAGTGGCAGTTTCAGTTTCGGAAAAGAAAGTTTGATTTCGATGCCTTACTTTTTTTTGTTCAGTTCATGGTAAACTTTCAGAAATTTAGCATTGTTTTATTTCCCACCCGGACGAACTTTATCTGAAGGACTCTATTTTTGCAAAAACAAGCAACGACAGAAAAACGGCTTGCAGCAATCATAATGTATCCAGTTCTAAAATCCAGCCATATTTGGCGACTTAAAGTTTATCTTTTTTTTACAAACTTCTTTTTGGGTATTTCGCCTCAAAAATTTTTGTCTTTAAAAAAGACAGAATTTCCTCACGTCTTTTATTACAGATTGATAA